ATCTAGAACAAGAAAAAAACGCACCTCTGGCAATGAAATCAAATATAAATTAACTGATGACTCTATATTTTGTAATAAGTCGCTAAAGCAGTTATTGGGGCACATCGAAACCAAGCAAACTTTAGCCGAATACCTTGCTGAATATACGAAAAATGATATAGGTAGTGCAGTTCGCATTCATTTTTCATTTTTTTAGGTTTTCACGTTTTTACTGGCTGTGATCAAATCGGACGCTTTTCTGGAATCACTAAAAAATCATGGTGGAAAGAATTTATATAAGCTGACGATGGAACCTTAGCTGCACTATCAAATCTTGGTCAATCGGAAGTTTTACCTGATCTGTTTACAATAAATAACATTGTTGTTAACAACAAAACGTTCAATGTTATTTGTTTAACGGACAGAAGATGTTAATACTCTATCACAACTGTCAACTAAATATTTTCCGGGGGCTCTTTTTTCTCTTTATTAAACATTGTGAATTGTAAATACTATTTTGGTTTACATCTGGTAATGTTTATATGTTTATTTAATGCTAATATTAATATATATACCAGCTCAATTATTTCAGTTTAACTTAATTTATCTTTTATCTGGTGGTAATTTTTTAAATGACCCCCGGTTTGGTAACTTACATAACGTCCTATATCTTATAAAGTAAAAAATTTCAACATATGTTTTTTATATGATTTTGAAAATTTAAAAGAAGTATTTCTGTAGGCTCCAAACATTATTCTGCATGCATGTTTTTGTTTGTTGTAGATATTCTTAAGTTTTGTAAAGCCAGTATTCGCCCACACAATATTACAGTAAGACAAATAAATGTGAATAAAGGCAAAATAAAATTTTTTCAGGGATTTAGAAAAGGTTTAGCCTTAAACATCATTGCGATATTTTTTGAGTGTATTGTTTAAATACTATTTACATGTAAACACCGGAGTGAATTTTCATCCTGTTTTACTCCTAAAAAGTTTACGTATATTTCCTTTTTAATTTAAATATTATTAACTACAAGATTTGGTAATTTATCTACTTTATGGAAAAGTATATATTTCGTTTTATCCACATTTAGTGAAAGTTTGTTGCTTACGAACCATTCATTAACTTTACATAACTGTTCATTAACTATTTTAAAAAGTGTTTTAACATCTCTGTGAGAACAAAAAAGATTTGAATCATCAGCAAACAAAATTAGGTCTAAAAAATTAGGTCTCCACATTTATTTCTATTATACGTTTATGTATAATAGAAATAAATGTGGTCGTAAAATAGAGCCCTGAGGAACCCCGCAAGTTATGGAAAATGGAATATGTGTTACTTTAATCATAATATAAAATTACTTTCGGTTTGTCAGATACCCTTTGAACCAAAGTAAGTTTTTATTTTTCACTCCATAGTTTTCAAGTTTTTTTATTAGTATATTGTGATTTACGGTATCAAAAGCTTTTGACAGATCAACGAAAACTCCTAATGTCAAACAGTAATTATCAAAGTCGTTAGATATTTGATTAGAAAGTTCAACTATTGCATGTTCAGTGGAATTTTTTTTTTTTAAATTAAATAGCTTGCAATACAACATGTCGTTCCCTGTTAGATAATTATATAGCTTATCATACATTATTCTCTCTAGCAATTTTGAAAAGCAAGGTAGTATAGATATAAGCCTGTAATTTAAAATATTTGACTTATCTCCAGATTTGAAAGTTGGTGTTATACGGGAAATTTTTAGTTTGTATGGAACAATACCGGTCTTAAATGAAAGATAAAAAACATGAAATAAAGAAGGTTCAGTAATATCAAATACTGATTTGACAATATCAATAATAATTTTATCAAAACCCTCATTTTTTTTTACTTTTGAGCTTGCTAAATGCAGCTCGCAACTAGTTTCGTCCATAAGTTTATCTTAAGTTTATAAATATGAATCAAAAGGAGCAGAGTTAGGTGGAATTTTATCAGCCGATTTTAGACCAATATTAACAAGGTATTTGTTTAGTTCTTCAGCTATAATAGATTTAAACTAATTTTCCATTAATTAAAAAATTTTTTGGCAGAGTGTTTTTTTTATAATTATTTTTTCCATACTTTTTTAGTGTTTCCGTTGTTTTTATTAATAACTGAGCATAATATCGGGTGGACACGGAAAAATCCGGTCAACTTTAAATTGAGATTTCTCTAAAACCATAAATGCTTTTTATTTCAATTTTTTTATTATTAAATGTGTTTACATAAATTAGAGTTTCAACTTAATTTTAAGGGGCTTGATGGGTTGCTTGGCAAGAAATCGAACTTTATAGAGGGTTGATGGCATCATTTTACAGATTTTTTCTTTTTTCACCATATTGGTGGCATTAATCCACTTTTTTTGGAAGTCCTTTTTATTATTTGTTAGTCCACCTGTCTTACGAAGAACTCTTTTAACTATTGCCCAAAAATCTTCAGTTTTGCGCTCTTCAGGTCGATTTGAAGACTCGCATCTTTAAGAACAATTTTCACATTATTATCTTTGCACCACTGTAAAACTTTTTTAGAATAGTGAGAGGCAGCAAGATCGGACCAAAAGAGACATTGGTATTTGTGTTTTTTTATAAAAGGCAAAAGTCTTTTTTGGAGGCATTCTTTGATGTAGAGATTGGCAGTCAAGGTCTTTTTAGTGACAAAACAAGAGGACTGCATACCACAGCTACAAATTGCTTGCCGCACAAGGAACTTGGATGCAAATTTTTCTCATCGAATATATTTAAATTGATCATCGACAGGTTTATCTTTGTTTTCATAGTAAAACTGTTGACCAGGAAGTTGTGAAAAATCCGCCTTGCAATACGTTTTGTCGTCTTCAATTATGCACATATTTTTATCCGCAAATTATTTTAACCAACTTTTTTGCGCGTCGAATTCCTTTAATTTCACAATTTAAGCTTCTCTTAGGTGTATTCCAACATTTTTAAGTACTTTTTTGATATAAGAACGAGAAGTCTTAAATTTTCTTGCTAGATCTCGCTGTGACTGATTTGGATTTCTTGCTATTGAACGTAAAATCGACTTTACCTTTTTGGATTTATGGAAAGTTTTTTTTTTCCACTTCCAAGTTTTCTTTCGAAGCTTTGAGTAGTCTTGAACTTGTTTATAATATCTATGACTGTAGATTTTGGGACATTTGTGCGTTTAGCAATCAAGCGATAGGAAGTCGATGGATTTTTGCAAAAAAAATTCACAACTTTTTTACGCACCTCAACTTGTTTCCAAAACATTTTGCAAATCATTAATTTGTAAACAAAAATTTATCAACACCATTTAAGATAAGGTAGTAAGGTTTAATTAAAAAAAAAAATTAATAAAAAGCATTTGTGGTTTTGGAGAAATCTCAATTTAAAGATGACCGGATTTTTCCGTGTCCACCCGATAAAGCTTTTTTAAGAATCTTTTTGTTTTTTCGATTATATTTTTGTAATATTTATAAGTTATTTCATTTTTATAAGAATTTTTTAAAGAAACTTTTTAAATATAATTTTTCTTTTTTTAAAATTTTAGTAAACCTATCGACATCCAGGGACTTTGAAGTGATATAATATTTATAATTTTTTCTTTTTATGGAAAGGCTACTTCATATTGCTTGCAAAATTGACCAAGAAACAGGTTATAAACAAGTTATAAACAGGTTATAAGCATTGTTAACATCACTTGATTGTAAAATTAAATTCCAATCAACATTATTTTTTAAACAGCTTTTTTTTTGTTATCATTGTATTGTTATTTTTGTTATTGCTATCACTTTTATTATTATTGTTATTATTACTGCTATTATTTAATTATTATTATTATTTTTACTACTACAACTTTTAATGTTCGTTTGTTACTGCTGTGGACGACTAATTGTTATTAGCATTAACGATATATTTATTAGCTTTTATTTGCAAGGTTTTTACTTAAGATTAGTACATGTACTATTTGTAGACTTCCGTGAATGTAACAACTGTTTCAAAAATATATTAATTGGTTTATTGTTTAAAAAAAAAAGAAGCTACTTAAGTTTGCAAAAGGGCCCCTAAATTTGCACGTGGGGAAGGTGAGTGTGTGTGATGAATAACCATGAGCAAAGAACGACCGATTAAAAAACCTAGGATTTTTATTTAAATTACACTGACCACTTAGGGGTATCAACACCACCCCCTTTTCCCTTCCCCCACCCCCACCCACCCTACTTCTTACCAAAAAATGCTGGATTTGTCACTGGTGTCAAGACTTTTTTTGCTTTTTGTTTAATACTATTTTGTTAAAATTTTCTGAAAAGTAAAATCTGCGGTCAAATGTTAGCCAAGGCTATTGGGGTAAAAGTCACAATAGTAAATTTTTTTAATCGCAACCTTAGACCCATCATTATGAAACCAACCGAAAAATATTAGTTAAAAATAAAGATAAAATTTTTATAATAATTTTTTTTATAAAATTTTTTGTATAATCGTTTTATAATACACTCCATGCATAATTCATAGTAAATTATTTATTGTTTTTCCGTCGTATTAAAAAATTATAATTAAAAACTACTATTAAAAATATGAAAACTTAATTATAAAATTTAAGTAATTATAAAACGTTAGAGGAAAAAAAAATTTTAGTCTCCACTTTTATTTTAGTTTAGCAAAACCTTTAGTCAAAAAAATTTGTTTAGTTATTTATTTTTCTTCTTGATTTTGCTTTTTCAAAATTATAATTTGTTAGGCAAACACGTTTTAAATTTCTTGTTATTGTAAGCATATTGTAAACACTAATGAACAAAAAGATATACTATATATTTTTTAATTTTTTTATAAAACATATAATATAGGTAAAAGGGTAATTCTGTTTTTTATTAAAATAAAAATATTTGTTGAATGTGCAGAATACGAAACTGAAATAAATTTTTTTTTTTTTTTGCTTTATTTAAAAAAAAAAAAAAATTGCGTTTGTTTATGCAACTCTAGTGCCGAATTCTTAGCACTAAGTATGCATGATTTATTTTTATTTGAGTATGGAGAGAAAAAAAAAATGTAACTACATAACTCTGCTAGAAAATTAAAATTGATTTTGTTTTTTTACGTTTTGAAACTAATTGCAACTGAAGAAATCGAGAAATAAGTTTATCAATTCAAAAAATCATGTGATAGAAAAATACTTACTGTTTTGAAAAAAAACTGGTCAATATTCAGGTAACAAAGCATTTTAAACTGTTTAGCGAGTTGCAAAAATTTTAAGCAAGTTAAAAAATTTACAAATTGCTACGATCATTCTATCCCCTAAATCATCTTTGGTGGGGTTTTGAGTTTATGGTTGAAATGTATGGTTTAGACAGTCTTCTATAATATGACAAGTTACCTATAACTTAAACCAATCTGAAAAGAGTTTTTTTCATTTAAAAAATTGCGATTTTTTTTTAGTTTTTTTTTTTTAGTTTTCTCATAACGAGAAATGACTTGAGAACTGTAAAATGATCGTGACAAAATAAAATTTATCGCGTTTAAAAATTGTTTTAAATTTAGTAAAAACGAATTAAACTAAACAATAAAGTTATTTTTAAAATTTAAATAACATAACACATTGTACATGTAAAATACAACTAACGTATCCCTACAAAACCATATCGCATGTCATAAGAAACAGATATAAATTAATAGCTTTAATATTGTCGTTATTTCTAGGATCTGTAGAACACGTGATTAACTTGTTATTTTGAAACTAACTGGAACTTTTTTTTTTAGAAGTTTTTGTTGCATAATGCTTTCTTTGCTGCGTCGGAAAAAAGTAGTTGTGACTTGTATTGGTTTTTGTGTAGTAACAGCTTTATTTTACCAACAGATCTTCGATAGAAAATGGGAAGTTAACTCTTTAAAATCAGTTGTTAGCAAACTGCATCAGTATCACACAGACTTTAAAAGTAGTATAAATTTTACAAACCTTCCCTTCATTTTACAAAACGAGAAAAGTAAACGGCATGCGCCACACTACGTTAAAAAAACATCTGGCATGACCTCAACAGAGTTACACACAAAAGCAAAGACTTGTTTGGAGCAAAGTGGAAAACAAATCGCTAAATATTTACAAAGAAGTTATGAAACAACATTTTCTGTTGACCATGTATCAAGTACTAGAGTTAGTCCAATTTTAGAGCCAGAATGCAAGCCGAATCTAGATTTAATTATAATAATAACAACTAAACCCGGTAATTTTTTTAATAGAGCAGCAATTAGAGCTGGTTACGGCAGATCCGATTCAGACATTAATAAGATGATTTTTTCAAACAACCCATTTAGATACCTTACTATTTTTACGGTTGGTCGTGATACAAACGCAAATATTGAAAAACTTGTAGAAAGTGAAAGTCGTAATTTTAAAGATATTCTCCGACTCGACTATAAAGATACTTATGAAAATTTGGCTAACAAAACATTATTGACAATTGAATGGCTGGCCGATCATTGTCCTTCCAAATTTGTATTGAAGTCTGATGATGATTGCTTTGTAAATGTTTTTTCTCTTGGGGCATGGGTACCAAAACAAGACTCAAGTACTAAGTATATTGGAAGAAAAAATGAATGGATGCCAGTCATAAGAGACCCGTGGCATCGAAACTATGTTCCATTTGAAGATTTCAGCGAGGAATATTATAAACCTTACTGTGCCGGCGGTGGTTACATGCTGTCGGGAAGTATACTTAAAAACATAACTATAAAAGCGAAATCTATAAAGCAAATCATTAACGAGGATGCTTATATGGGCATGGTAACTAATGCTTTAAATATATTTCCTAAAAATGATGAAAGATTTTTACCGTTTATATTTTCCAAACAAAGTGTCCTCAAAAGACCAATATGTCAATGGAGAAATAAATTTGTTATGCATGGAGTATATGCTGAAAAGCAAATAACAATGCATTGGAACGCTATTGCAATGAACGAATATAAATCAATATGTGAATGGGATCCGCCATAATGGCTTTATTTTAAAATAATATAAATTTCTATTATATAAATTTAGGTGTACAAAATAAATTTAAAATACATTTTTTACGTCTTTTTGAAGCAAGTAATATATGTTTCTCGCTAAAATAGTTTTAAAAAAATATGAAATAAAAGTTTATTTATTACTTTATTTTGGATTGAATATTTTTGCTGGCAAAACCAAAAGTTTTTATTTAATGCAAATAACGCATTATTTTCTAGAAAGTCTGAGGTGAAGAGAAAAACGTCATTGCCCGTTTATATGGCATCAAAAAAAATTTAGTGGCATTGCTTTTACCGAGCCCCTACTTAATTTTATTTTTACTGTTAAATTTGAAGTTTTTTTTTGTTTTCATATAAATTCATATTTAAAAAAACAACATAAACAACAACAACAACAAAAATTATTTATAAAGTTCAAGGGGTTTTGCTGCTAAATAAACGGGCGGAGACGTTTATTCGGCACCTCATAATAAATTATATAACAGATTGCTTTTGGTTATGTCACTCATAAATAAGCATAAACAAAAAGATTTTAACTACTTCAACCTCTTTTAAACATACATTTGTTAATTCCACCTTTGATATACAGTCAGCAGCAAGCATATCAAGAAGCCATTGAAATTTAATTTTTTTATTTTTTTCAAACATGTTGAAATATCCATTCGGATATTGAAAAAAAACAAACTAATTTGGCCATACCAGTTTTAAAAAAAAAAAATGGATATGGATATTTTTACATGTTTACCAATAATATTATTGTCATAATAATAAAAAATTATTTAGTTATGTAATATTCTGCAGCCGTTTTTTTAAATCGTCTTTAGATGCTTATTAGGTAACGTTATTTTGTAACTAATAATTTTTATAAGGTTTTTCACAGTTCTTCGAAAATATATATTCAATAATGTTTGTAGATATCTAAATTAGCTTATTTTGTAAAAAAAAAAGTCAAATTTGAATTTTTTACCTTAAGGCGTTTTGAAAAATGGCTGCAGTATTATTCGTAGAAAATCATTTGGCGTTATTTTCCAAAAAGATATTAATGGAGCAAAGCTAAAACAATGTCGGAAGCATTTTTTTCAGTCAAATTTTCCACTTATTTTTTCCCACAATTCACAGTGGGCCAGACTGTGGCCAAAGTCAAAATAGTGATGTTCCTAAAATTTTTTTTTTTTAGAGACGTGTATAGTAGTGTATATTATGGGCTTTCTAAAATGGATATCATTTTTTTTACAACTTCAAAAACTTTACATTTACAAATTAAAGAGGTTTTTTTTTATATACTCAAAACAACTAAAAATTTTATAAAAAATATGTTCATCTATATTTCTTCACAAATATAAAATTAATCTTATTCGTTGCGCTTTTTTTAGTAAATTTTGAAATATATTTATGGTTTACTTTCTTGCAATAATGATAAAATATAAATGTAAATTACCTTTTTTTTCTATTGTTTAAAATAATGTGTAAAAAATCTTTATTACAATGATATATATATATATATTATCAGAGGTATATATATATATATTATTAAATCCTTTTTGGAACACAAGCGAACACATTTATAAGTATATACAGCAAATGATTAACATGTTTACTATGAGGTAAAATTAGTTTTGGCTGCTACTTCTTGCAACTTTGAGCACTTTCAAGCTCTAAAACTGAAAACACTTTGTAGAACCCCTCACTTTGAGAAGGTTTTAATATTTGATTTTTATTTTACGTTAACGTTATACTGTTTACTTTTTTTTAGCTGTATAATGAAATATTTTGAAATATACAAATGTATCAGGAATAATCAGTTTTCAATTCATGAACAGTCTTCCTTTTGATAAAGCAACGCATGATTACAAATTTGATGGTTCAACCAGTCAAAAGATTTATAAACAAAATTTATCAGAAAGCAGTTGTCATAATTATTAAATGCAAATTCTTTATTTTTGACTAATGTTGTTCCTTTAGAGCTATTTACAAGTATAGATGAAAAAAAAGTTATCTTATGAAGAAATTTAAAGCCATTCCCTCTAAACACCGTAAGATGGCCCTTTATTGGGCCAATAACTTTTTTGAACATATATAACGGGCCATTGAATGCCATCGTTTTGCCTCAATTGCTGAGGTTTTGCGTTTGTCGGCTTGCATTTGTAGCTGTTATAGAAGCCTAAATACTGGCTGACTTATTTGGGAATTTATTGGGCCAAGATTTGCTAATAAATATATAATAAATATATACCAATAGCTGCTATTAAGTCGTATTTTAAATATGGCGCACATTTCGGATTAACGCAATCATTTTGGACCAATATTAATAATATTATTATTGGAAATAAGATATTATTATTTCAGAACTGAATTAAATTTAGGGCGGACTTGTACATGACGCACCCCCTTAAGTTCAAAACACGTTTTATCGAAAATGATATTTTACTGACCTAGTAAAATTAATTTATTATATTAATTAAAGTGTAACTACCTCAATTGATCATAAGTGATGAATAGAATTAAATGTAAATGCTTTGACTAATAAATAGGGATTAACGCAACAAAATATACATTCTTTAATTGACCGTAAGAATTGGGACAGTTTTGATCACGATTATTAATGTTTCATAAGGGGTGCGTCGTGTACAAGTTCGCCAAATTTAGAACTGTATTTTAAATTCAATTTCAAAGTATAAAATTATATGAATTATACACATATTTTGTTTCCATAGTTTTAGTTTATTATCATTATAGCTTTACTAAAGTTTAAATAAGTTATATTATAACTTATATAAAAAGGGATTTCAACAGATCATGGATACTGTGCAAACTTATTGGTCAAAGAGAAGAAAAATAGTTAAATCTGTCAACAAAATTATGTCCGATATTGATACAGAATTTTCTATTTCTAATAATAATAAAGCTTTAAAAAAAGTTAGTTTTATATGTCACGCCTCTTAATAAGAGGCATGACATATAAAACTATCTTTTTTTAAAGCTTTATAAGAATTGGAGAGAAGTGATCCAATTAATGCTGATTACAAACAACATGATCATCCTATAATATCATTAAAAGAATAAGAGTCTTTGACTCTTATTCTTTTAATGATATTGTAGGACAAAAAGATGATCATGTTGTTAGTAATCAGCATTTATTAGATCACTTCTCTCCAATTCTTGATAACTCCAAATATAATAACGATTCTGAGTTTAATATGCTGTATTTAAATTCAATAGATAGAGAAAAGTTGAATGAAAATAGTAGTTATGACGAATTTGTAACAAATAGTTGGGAAATGTTTATGAAACAGGATACAATTGAATCCATTGATGTAGAGTCATTGTCAATTGATAGCAGTGAGGAAAACGAACCTGATATTGAAAATGAAAAAAGAGAGCTATCATTTGATTTAGGAGAGTGGGGAGCATCATTTTCTATTCCTATGGTTGCAGTATCTTCACTTTTGATATGCTTAGAGTGTTGCACCCATCACTTCCAAAAGATCCGCGAATGTTACAAAAACACCTAGAGCAAGAATTGTCAAAACAATTGAAGGGGGCTCCTATTATCACTTTGGTGTTGTTAATTGATTGCAACTCATAATTCATTTGCCTTATTTTTGTACAAGTCTTTGCTCTGAAACTCTATCACTTTCTCTACAAATTAATATTGATGGATTACCTTTACAGAAGTTAAGTTTAACAATTTTAGCCAATTCTAGCAAGAGTATCAATCCCATTTTCAAGTAATCCATTTTTGATTGGCTTGTTTTGCGATCAAAGTAAATCAGTTAACTTGAATGAATATTTAAAAGATTTCATTGAAGAAACGTTAGAATTGGAAAAAGGTCCTATTAAAATTGATGTAAATGGTACAAAATACTCAATAAACATTGGTATATCCTGCTTTGTATGTGGTATTCCTGCAAGGGCATATAAAAAACAAACTAAAGGACATAGTGGATATTACAGTTGTAATAAGTGTATCCAAAAAGGGGAATGGCACAGTAAGGTTACATTTCTTAAAACTGATGCTCCACTTAGAACTGATCATTCTTTTAATGAAATGACAGATGCTAATCATCACATTAGAGATACTCCACTTAAAAAATTGTCTATTGGAATGGTAACTCAGTTTTCACTTGATTTTATGCACCTAGTGTGTCTAGGAGTAATGAAAAGGATTTTGATGTTTTTAATAAAAAGCCCTGTTAGTGATGGAATAAGATGTGTTTCACTTATTTCATCACTAACAGGGCTTTTTGTTAAAAAAACTGCTTTTCAATGCTCTATGTATTAAAGTGGCATAGAGCGTTGGAAAGCAGTGAAATTCAATCAATTTTTATTATACAGTGGCATTGTTGCACTAAAAGGACATCTTTCGAAATCTGTATACAACAATTTTCTTTTGTTTTTTGTTGGGATACACTGTTTAGCCAGTTCAGATCTTTATCAAAGTCATGCTGATTATACGGAATCTATCTTACGCGCCTTTGTAAAAAATGCTATAAAAATTTATGGCAGAGGTTTTATTAGCTACAATGTACACAGCCTAATACACATTGCAAGTGATGTAAAAAGATTTGGATCTGTTTATAATTACTCTGCATTTCTGTTTGAAAATTTTCAAGGGTATTTAAAGCATTTAATACATAAACCTTATTTACCACTTCAACAGGTTATCCGGCGTATATCTGAAAGAAATGGAACAATTATAAGAAACTCTAATAAATGTATGAAAGAAGGCATTCCCAGGAAGCTGCTTGAAAATGGTCCTATTGTTTTAAGAGCACAAACAGAATGTCTACAGTATCAAGAAATTACTTTAAATGGAATTTTTTACTCTACTTCAAAAGGAAACAATTGCATAAAAATAAAAAACGACTTTTGTTTAATATGTAAAAATTTCATGGTGATAATAGGCATTTTATTGTTTATGAAAAATTTCTTACTATTGAACATTTCTTTAGATATCCTGCAAATTCTTTCGAATGTTTTGGTATAGTAAAGGTCTCTAAGTTATCATGTCAGTATGAATCTGCCACAACAGATGAAATACAGAAAAAATATGTTATACTACCATGCAAGTCCAAATTTGTTTGTATTCCTCTGTCTATGAAGGCTCAAATGCATAAATAATAAACTGGAATTTTTTTTTTCTTTTTTTGCTAAATTTTTGTATTAGCGCTCATTTGCATATCAGTATTAGTATTTGGTATTACTGATTTTTATGTTTATCTTTTTATTTCAGTTAGTAATGTAATATTTAGTTGAATTTGAGGATAAAATGGCGGTGGTTCCTGATTGCTGGTTGTTACAAGAATCAGCTACATGTTATTAGCCTCAGGGAATTGGTGCTAAACAATGGTCAAAAATGAAAAAGTTATTAATTCCTAATCACAAAGATTGGCTTCTTTATTCTTATATAAGAATATTGAAAATTAGAGATATATAATTTCTATATGGTTTTGGAAAGTTTTGATTATATTATTTTTCAGACTATGAAAAATAATATAATCAAAACTTTCCAGACTATGAAAAAATAAAATAGATTATAATTTTCCAGACTATGAAAAAATAAAAAAGGCAGAGGCTAAATCTTTGCACTACACAAATTTTTCTTCAAGTCGTTCGGAAATAAAACATGATTTAAAGAGGAAAAATTTGCAAACACAATGGTAAAGTATATCATATTTATTGTATATTTTTAAAATACAATATTCTAAATGATTCTAAATGCAAACTAGAATTCTTAGCTTGAAATTTTATATTCGTTATTATTTACATTACAATTTTATTAACATTTTGTTTTCAATTTTAGGAGTCCTGACATTTCAATTGAGAAAAAGGTAAAAAAATGAAAATTCGAAAATCAAGAAAAAGAAAAATCATGTAGACAGTCAACTTCAACCACTTCCACAGATCGAATTGATAAACCTTCAGCTAGTTCTAGCACAAACATCACATCTTCAATTTGTAAGTTTTGCATTTAAAATAATATTTTAAAATTAATATGTTGTATATTGCAAGTTTGGCATATGTGTTCAATTATATTTTCAAAAAGGTAGTCTTTTTATAATAGACTGCTTTTGAAAGTTACAAAATACTAAGTTTTTTATGGTTCCTGGTGCTCTAATAAGTTAGAGGTTTTTTTTTATTTTTTATTTTGCAGTTAACGTTTATAGTTCCAAAGTCTCTCAACTTTTTTAAAAGCCCTAACACTAGAAATTATGCAAAAATAACAATTTTGTAACTTCCAAAATTCCTAGGGTCATTTAGGGGTCTCTATATACCTGAAAATTTTCTATAAATATAATTTATTGTTTTTGGATAGTTCCTGATTTAGTAAAACAAGCTGTGGCTGATGTTGTTCGACCATATTTTCATAGTGTTATTAAACAGTTGGAGGAAATTAAGTCAGAGTTAGATGTGCAGCGCCAAAAGCAAGTTTCTATTAATCATAATACAAGTGGAAATCTTCCAGAAAACTTTATACTTCCATTAAAAGAAATTGATGAACTCTTACAGTTAAATAGCATTTTTCTGGAAAATACTGAATGTCGATCAAATGCAGTAAGTCTAATATTATCATTATATAATATAAAGAATATAAAAGTTTACCTTTATTTTTTAAATTAAATTAGTATATTTTTTTCTATTTCGAATTGACTTCATATATAATAACATTTATACTTTAGTATAAACTCATTTTCGTATGTAATAGGTTATTTTTTTGCCTCTAATTGAAGGAAATGGTCTTGATGACTGTTTGAGAAAAGTTGCTAAGAAAATCTTGACAGCAAAACTCTCAATACTTTATAACTTTAGAGGAAGAAAAGGGTAAATTAGAGTTTGGTTGTCTAGTTGGGGTGAAAAATGTGATATATGGTAGATGTGTGATATATGGTAGATGTGTGATATATGGTAGATGTGTGATATATGGTAGATATGTGATATATGGTAGATGTGTGATATATGGTAGATGTGTGATATATGGTAGATGTGTGATATATGGTAGATGTGTGATATATGGTAGATGTGTGATATATGGTAGATGTGTGATATATGGTAGATGTGTGATATATGGTAGATGTGTGATATATGGTAGATGTGTGATATATGGTAGATGTGTGATATATGGTAGATGTGTGATATATGGTAGATGTGTGATATATGGTAGGCAAACTTATAAATAAAATTACTCTCATTATTATTTATTCTAAAACTTTTCTCATCATCGTCGTCATCATCATCACTATCATCATTATAAGCATCATAAATATTCTATAATAAATTTTTATAAATAGGCATTTGTATTATTAAACAAAATTATTATGATAATTATAATGTAATAATGAAAGATGTAAATCCCATTTGTTTTACAATACAATAATAAAAATTTTATTTTTGTTTATATATACTTCTTTACTTTATTCTTACAGTTTACCATGTTTTGTCAACTCGTTTTTCAGGAGGTAATGGCAGTAGTTCAATGTTGTAGTTTATTAAAGAAATCCACTAGCTGCTTTGGCTTCAGGGAATAGGTGCCACAAAGTAGGCAAAATAAGAAATGCACTCATATTAAATAATAAACACTGACCTATCTATCTATAACTATGGTTATTGAAAAGTGTAGGTAAGTAAATTGGTACCGATTCTATTATCATACTCTACCATCTATGCTTACATATTTTGATTGATATGCCAAAAAAGCAAACACAGTGGGTAGCATTCATTTATACCTTATGATTAAAAAAAAGTTATAAATTACTTTTCAGGGTTCGAGCTCAAGCTAAGAAGAAGAACTACAAACGCCACAAACGATAATGCATTAATCACTTCCTACACCACTACATCTATATGTCTAATACTTACATTTCACAAAAGGTTTGGTAAACCAGAGCTGAAAGCTGATGTTAATGAGCAGTGGCAGAAACAAGCCTGCATCAGACAAACCATTAATGCACCTCTCTCAGATGCCTTGACTTTTCCACTCCAAGAGATAAATGATCTTCTAGAAATCAACCCAATTGCAAGATTCTGAGTAGTGATCAAGAACAGTAAGCTATTTTTTATTAATTTGTGTTTTTTTATATCTCTATTTTAATAAATTGTTTAATTTTTTTTTATATAATCTGTTATATAATTGTAGAAATAATAATTATATATTTTCTTGCTAACATACATCAATAAAATAAATGCAGAGTTATTGTTGTTAATCAGAGTATTAGACTTTTTTCAGAGTCTTAGAATTTTTTTTTGGTAAATTATTGTGTAAAATTGGTATCGGTAAAAATATTGTGGAACTGAATATCCAAACAAAATAGAGTCCAGATCTCAAAATTAGGATACAGGTACCCAGGTAATTGGATCCAAATCTTGTATCCAACTATGTTTAAAACCAGAGTAAAACCCTACACATTAGGGTTTTACTCTGGTTTTAAAATTAAAGTGTCATATTTCTAAACATCTCAGATGTCCTTTCACTTTAAACTAAAAATTAGAATGACACTCTCATTTTAACACCAGATTAAAACCCTAATGTATACACAGGTGATCTGTGTGATGGTGGATTAAAGTTTTATTTTGATAGATTTTTATTTTTTCTATTTTCTGTTTATCTCTGATTACTCTTGATATTTGTTTATGCAGGTGCAGTAAGAAAACTATCCCTAAGCGACAATTAGTCAACCGGACAAGATGCTGCCAAAATGGCTATCAAGTTCAATTGACATGGATGGTCTCGAAAAAATCGCTAGGAGAGGCGTAGAGGAAAGTTCTTTAGAAGACATATAATTTTTATATTAAATGTAATGAAGTGTTTTTTATAATGTGTTTATTTTCTTTTTTACATTGTTATTTTATTGGATATTGGTTGAGAATATTTATCGAATAAATTTCTTTTATATGACTTATGTTTTTTGAATTTTATTTCAAACAAATCGACATTCCTTTTATTTTAAAAAGATTATTTTGAAAAGAAATTCAGTGTAATATTCTATGTATTACAAGTTTGGGCTTGAATTAGCCAATATTGGGCTTGAATTCCCCAACGTTGGGCCAGTATTAACCTACATCGCCCCATTAATGGTCGATGTTGGGCCATGATAAGCTAATCAAAATCAATAATGGCCCAATATTGGAGCCATGATTTATCCAGCAATCGGCCAATGTTTGCCCAATAAATGCCCAATTTGCGCTCCCCGATATTTGCCCAATGTTTGCGGCCAATGTTTGCCCAATATAGTAGCCAATAATTGCCCAATCATGGCCCAAGGAATTTGTGCTATCTGGGTTGTGAACGATTTATTGTAGACCTCTGAGTTTTGAGCTTGATAAAGAAACTAAATCTGTGTTGATTGATAAAGAAAGTACACTTAAAAATAAAATGGCAAAATTGATTCCGTCCATCATTGTTTTCGAAGGGCAAAAAATATCTATAACAAACCATATCGAAATCATGATTGATGAAAAGGTGCACACACTTATCCAAAGCAACTGACTCTAGTCAGTCATGTTTTAGTGTATGTAGCCCATCAGAAATGAATGAAATTAAAATTGTTATTAAAAATCATTCTACTTTTATTCTTCAGTATGGTCTTTCACACTTGCATGCAAGCTTGCATGCTTGGATAAACTGCTTTGAATACTTATTGCATATTGCATATAAAATAAAAATTAAGTCTTGACAAGATCTTTTGAAGCCAAGAACTAATAATACAAAGTAACAATCGAAACAAGTAATAAATTTATGTGTAAAAAAATTGATTGTGTATCTAATATAAATTTTAATTAAATATATTGCTATGGTTAATTATGCGTTCTTTTATTATTTAATAACGATCATTGTATATATATATAATATATTGTATATTAATATATATTTGTGTTTTAAATATTGTAACGAAATGCTTATTTAAAATCTAATAAAAAGAAGAAAACAAAAAAATAAAAATAAAAAAATTAGTTTTGCTATGCAAAATTAATAAACCATAGGTGATATACCACCTAATTTCGCTTTGTAAAATTAAGTAACCATAGTAACCAAATATAAAAAATCACTTATAAAAAGCAAAGGCCTCATATTAATACACATGTCAAATATATTGTACGTAGCACAAACAAAAAATCTCTAAATACCAGAAATAGGTAGTTGCTATGCAAAATTAGGTATCCATAGCAATTAAATATAAAAAAAATATTACTTTCATAAGAAGCGCCGACCTTATTTTGGTACTCCCCAAATTTAGCTAGACCCAGCGAGCATTTGTTTTTAAAAGTTACGTTTTAAATGTCTTTTAAACGTTTTTTAAACGTCTTTTTTCGTAAGAATGTTTAGAAGACGTTTAAAAGATATTTAAATACATTTAGAACGTAACTTTTAAAAACAAATGCCCGCTGGGTCTAGCTAAATTTGGTAAATACAGTATTAATATTAAATTAGTTATTAATTTTGCCTCAAAATTGACTATTGTGGCCCAGTGTGCAATGTTGGCGTTTGTAATCACTACTTAGCGAGGATAGAAATGATAGAAGTGCATATTTTCGTTGCTTTGCGTATAATAATGATATTAGCACTACGTTTTATGTTATTGATGCTCATTGCTGACTATTAAAACGGTTATTGACAAAGATAAATGAATAAAATAAATGTGTAGAAGCTTTAGAAAGGTCGTCTATAATAAGAAATAGTAGCGAGACAAGAATTGACCCCTGGGAAACACTATATTTTATTTTATTTAAAGATGCGCTGATATAGTTAATGAAATCTAAAATGTTTAGTTGAACGAATTATTTGCCAAACAGTATTGATATTCACGCGAAATTTTATAACCTGTTAAATTAGTTTCAATCAAATAATAATTTTAAATTAATCAATAAAAAACCTTTTTTTTCAGTAATTTATTCTTTTTTTTTTTTAACAAAATCTTGTATGATATTAATGCTCTGGCCCAATTGCTAAAAATTGATGGTGACAATGCATACATCAAGAATCGACGATGGCTGTGAACACATCAAGAATTGATGATTACTATGCACACATCAAGAATTGATTATGGCTACGCACATATCAATTGATGATAGCTATGCACACATCAATTGATGATAGCTATGCACACATCAAAAAAAGTCGTTTTAGGTAAGAGTTCCTCCAATACTTTTATAGAATTTTTATCAATGACTGTATTTGGAGACTTAAAAATCAAAAAGAAATCGATTCTGAGAAAACTTATTCCGAGCATTTTAAAAAGTTTTTTTATGAAAGGGGAGGGGGTAAGAGTTGTAAAGTAAAGGTTTCTCTTATAAAAAGTAAACATTAACACTTTAAAAATATGTTATAGTTAACCCAGTATTACAGGCTTTTAAATATTTATCATCTTAACATATTTATTCTTTTATAGAATTGTTGGTGAAACCATATATAAAATTTAAAGGAGTTGTTCTGTTTGTAATGTCTTGTTAAAAATGGTTCCAATAGGGCGGCCTATAATTGGACCTAATTTTGAAATTTCTAAAAGCATAGAATATGAATATTTTGATTTTCAACTTACAACTTTTGATTTTTTATACTTAATATTAATTAAAGCATAAACTACTAACTTTTAAGCCCACTGTATTTTCAATCTACTGAAATTTCAACCTACTGTATTTTCAACCTACTGTATTTTTGACCTACTGTTTTTTCAATTGACTTTATAACTACGTCTTTTCCGGTATGTATTTTATTTATTTGTTGTTGATTTGAATCAGAGCTGAATTTAATCAGCCGTGGCGCAGTGACTGGAGCGCTGGCTTGTAATTGAGAGGTCTACGTTTGGTGCCTGGTCTAGGTATGTAAGGCGGCGTAAAATTTCTCCTTACATATTCTTCTATGTAGCTCTACGACAAAACCATTAGATTTTGTTGGAGCACCTTAGTTATTAGAAGAAAAAGAAAAAAGTTATTTTTTAATATTTGATGTAAATGGCGGTATTTTATTCTCCAAGCAGACCTAACGGTCTTATTCTAGAATAAACCAACTGAAATTTCAACCACGGAAGGGCATTTAACAAGGATGTTTACGACTCTTCCCGTACCAAGGTCGCTTATCTGACCTCTTTTTTTATATATTACTTTTGAGTCCTTAATAGAAGGTGGGGGTGGGGGGAATGGACGCTAAAAATACAGACTAGTAGGTTGAAATGAATATTGCCTATAATCGGTTGAAAATCAAATTATCTCAAGTTGGTTAAAAATAAAAGCCTCTAAAATCGGTTGAGAAAAAAATCGGTCGCAAATGAAAACGTCATAAATCGGTCGAATTAAAAAAAGGACTATAATAGGTTAAAAACAATTTAGGCTTTAGTAGGACATCTAAAAATTATTTCCACTTTTTAGTAGATGTATTATTTTGTAGATCAAGTTTGTAGTTGCAGGTTTTTGTAGGTTGAGCTATGCGACACGTCCAATAGTAAGGTTTCCGTACTCTTTAGTTTATTTAGTGATTTCTTTATTTAATGTAATAAATAAATAATGTAATAGAATGTTTAAAATGTTAATATTTGTTTGGTTACTGTAAATAATAAATATAAATTGCTCTATTTGAAAATGCTTAACATATTATCTAACGAAATAGTGAAAAATAAAGAAAAACTAGACCATAGTTTTTTGTAGCTGTTGTTTGAAGACAAGCTTAAAATATATTCACAAAACTCTTAAAGGCTTACATATAAACTTATAAAAAAAAGAAACTTGAACTTTGAATCCAGACATATCTAAATACCGGGAATTTGTTTATTAGTTTTTATCGTTTTCAAATTGATTAAACCATTAACAGTATTTTATCATTCAGTTCGGCTGCCAATACCAATAGCTATTGGTGTTCCTCAATTAGTTAAGTCAAGTTTGAAGATTGAAACTATGATTATTTAACTTGGACTAAGTCAATTCAAATCGCGCATCCCTTTGAAATCATTAAGGAAAAGGAGAGTTTAATTTTAGAAAAATCTTGAAAAAAAACTTTACCAAAAAAGTAAACTCAACTAAATTTTATGATGAACAGACAGTTATTGCAGACGAAAGAAAAAAAATTGTCAATAGATGTGTTAGGGGTCGTCCATAAATTACGTCACGCTATAAGGAGGAAAGGGGGGGTTGGTGGTTTTGTGACGACTCATTCAAAACTCGCTTCTTAAGTGTTACGATTTTGTGACGAGGGAGGGAGGGGGGGGGGGAGTTCAAAAACGGTCAAAAATTGCGTGACGTAATTTATGGACGACCCCTTAAGAGACCTTGTTTATGTCAATTAAACATTTGTAACGACTTATATAAACATTTGTAATGACTTACAGAAAGCAAAATCCTTACCAAACATTAATACAAATTGTAATTGATTTAAGCAAAAACGTTATAAGACGATTTTTTTTAAATTAAAATAATATTTTGTACGAAATGGATCACTAAGAGTAATTTGTAACCTCTTTGATCTAGAAAAAGAACGATGCCAAGATCGAAGTTAGAACTAACTATTCTGTGGCTCTTGCATATTGTGACAACTTGCAGGAGACACAAGATAGAAGATCGTTTATAGGTACTTGCAGCTAATTTAAAAATTATTATTATTCTTCTAGGAGTTTTAGTAAGTTATTTTTTAAAAATAATTTATTATGTAACTTTAGATTAGAGTTCTTAATTTAAAACAAATGTTTTGATTTTTTACACACTACTTTAACAAATCTTAGTCTCATGGCGGTAAGTATGCTTGCAATTGGTGTGAAGGAGAATGTAAACTTTTTGGTGGGTCGATGAGAACATTTTTATCATTGGATCTTTGACAGAATGTATAATGTATAGAGGAAAACAAGTCGAATCTTTTAAAATTGTTAACAATATAAAAAAAACTTTGTTAACAGTTGCATTTTATAACTTGAATAATAAATCAAGTGAGTATGAGAAAAGATAACAAGTATTCAAATATCTTTTTAAAGTTGATTTTTTTACTCTCCTTAAAAAAAAAAATATTATTATTACTATTACTTATAAATTGTTTTGAATAAAAAAAATCAATTATTTTCAAAACTACTATTCAAAGACGGCCACTTGTGGATTTTTAGATGTATCCTGAAGAACGGCCACTTGTGGATTTTTAGGCATATAGATGTATCCTGAAGAGTCACTGATAAAACTTCCATAAAAATATTCGGGGAGCTTTGACCGAAAACCTAAACCCTCTTTGAGGTATGTACGATGATTATGTAGTATGATGCTAAATTTCGATGAATTTCAAATGTCATTTAATGTTCCAGTATTGACCGAAAACTATGACCATGTAAAATTTAATATTTTCCTCAAATAAAAATTTAGTAAAATATTTAAATTTTTAACTTATTGCCCTCACATAGGTTTAGATTATAAGTTTTTTTTGAATTCCAGGCTCCAATTAACGCAACCTTGGCAAAGCATCTCATTTAAAATAAGCACGAACATTATTTTATTAGCTTAAAAACGTTACTTCATAGAGTAACGAAAAAGAAAAAAAAATCTTACAAAAGAATGACCAACTTCTTTTTATCGAGTTAGTAACTTATTAGTGGCTGCAGTTTTTTTGAAGAAACACATTAAACCCCTACCGAAATAAACAAACTCTTATTAATATGTAAATCATTTGATGACTCAAAAGTAAAAAAATAATTTCTACGTTGTTTTTTTTCTTCGAAAAGTTTCATTTATTATGATTCCAAAAAAAATTCACAAAAGCAATATTCAAAAAATCAGTCTCGCCATCTTAATATTTGAAAACCATAGTTTGTATTGCGAATCCTCTATCCCAGATGCAAACACATATGAATCGCTAACTTGAAAAAGGGGACATGTCCTGCAAAAATTCACATAACATGTCCCCTTTTTCAAGTTAGCGATTCATATATAAAATAGAAAAGCGTTCTTACTGAATTTATCGTCTAAATGAAAAATAAAATAAAAAAATTTAAAACAAACAAAAACGACAAGCTAGAAACAAAATATTTAAATAGAAACAATAATTAAAAAAAGCTTAACTTTTATAAATTTATAATACAATCTTCCAATTTATAATATTCTAATTTTAATGTTACCGTCATCATAAATATTTTGACTTTCGTTTAAAACACTTTTTTTATAAAAGAGTTTCTTTTACTAAACGTTTTGTTATATGAAACACTTTAGCAAAACTTTATGTTTTATTTATGAAAAATATCTGAGCTCAACCTATGTGACATTTTTCGAGTTACATTAAAGGATATTTACATTAGTCTTGCTTGTTGCTCGTCACATGTTTAATTGAATAAGACTTTGAATTCGACGCACCAGTGCTGACAAAAAAGAATGTTTTTGAGGGCGTCCTTGTAACTAAAATTATATGCTTAATTGAATAAAATTAGATAACATAATAATAACAATCAAAATGAATAAAAACAAATTAATAGAAAAAGTAAATAAAAAGGTTACAAAACCTGATCGAAATCAAGTACTTTGCTCCATAACTGTTCGTTGAGTAACTTAGAAGCTTCGCACTTTAACTAAAATATGTTTATTAAAACTGTTAATTAAAACAATAGTTTATATTTACTGAAAACTTTTTAAATTTGATTTCAATAGTCTCATTTAAATTTTGATTACAACTTTTTAGTAAACTACTTATTGACAACGTAAAAACGTAACTAACGCAAATTCATTTAGCGCATACATTTAAAAACTTCACATACGCACCAAAACAGAAACTTGAAAAGAATAACATGCTAACATAAAAAAATCAATCAATAATTTTACTAAAAACTAAAAAAACAAAAAAATAATTTAAAAAGTGACAACTTACCTCCAGCAAATCCTCTTTTTTTATTTTTAAGTCAGTGTTTATTGAATCTTTTGTTTGATCAACTTTAGATGAATCAGAAAGAACAGTTGAAGAAAAGCTTCCCTCTGGAATATTAATTTAAATTTATTAGAAAAGATTTTAATGAACTTAAAAAGCTAAACAAAAACACGGAGTGGAAAATATTTCGTACCAGTGAGTTTGCGAGCGTGCGAAGAATAATTACTCTTTGAAAAGTTTGCATCATCAAGGAAAAAATCGTCATTCGGGATACAGTGAATATAAAAGTAGTCTAGATGCCTCCAAAGGATGTAAACCACGTGCTCTAGAATATCTATGAATACAAAATGCTTTTATAGAATTAAAAAAAAAATTGAAGGAAAATAAAAATAAAGAGTTAAAAAAAAAAAAGGATAACATACAAGTCAAATAACTAGCTTGTTCTTCTCGAAGCATAAGAAGTTTTTCTAGAATACGGTAAACCACAGCCTTTCGTTGATGGAAAGGTAAGCGATCAGTGTCAGGTTCTTGAGACAAAATCTATATCAAATTTTTAAATTATACGAATTGTCATTGATAAAAAAAAAAAAAAAAAAAATAATTAAATTATTGGTTATTACCTCATTAATTTCGTCATTTGTCATGTCAGACACAGAATTTACTTTTCTTTTTAAAATGTTATTAGCCTCTACACATTGTTTTAATTGCTCTGGGCAACCTTTTAACTCAGTCAACAAAAGGTGCAATGATGGCAATTGCTTGTAGTTAACTAAAGGTTAAAAAAAATAAAAAAACTTACTAGCTTAGATATGTTGGCTAGTTAATAAAATTAAAAAAAATAATAATTATAAAATATAGCAAAATAAAACAGTTATAAAATCCCCCCCCCCCCCCCTTACTTTTATCAAAATATAAAACTCACCAGACTTTCCGCTACTAAATCTGGTTTCGAGTAAATGAGTATCAGTTAAAGATGGCGAAAATATAATTCTCGAGTAAGGGCCACTCAAACCTTAACAAAAAAAGAATATAATTCCTTATTAGCTTGATTACTACATTTATATATATATATATATATATATATATATATATATATATATATATATATATATATATATATATATATATATATATATATATATATATATATATATATATATATATATATTAGGGCACTGCAAATCAATTCGATTCATGAATCAAGTGTCGCTTTGATTCGAGATTCGATTTACTATTTATTTTGTGAGTGTTGCTATTTTTTCAGAGATTCAACACTAAGATGCTATCAAAATGTTCTCATTTATCTCAGAATAAAGTAATTGTAATCGAAAGTAATTCTAATACTGCTTCCAAACAACCACTGAAAAATTATTCAAAGCAAAAAAAAATATTTTAAGAAGAGGTTAAAAAAAAAAAAAAAAAAAAAAAGAAAAAAAAAAGAAGGTTAAATTTGAATTTCCTCATATTGCTGATTCAATTTGCAAATCAAAACCTGCTTAGATTGTAGACTCCAAACTAAAAATGCTGATTCACAGAGCCCTAGTCTATTAAAAACTCAAATTCTCTTATTCACTTTTCTCATAAATAAAACAAAATTGAAAATTTTTTAGATATAAAATAACAGAATTAGACAAACGACCTTTACAAGCAACAATATTTTTAAAAAAAGTGAATATTCTTGAACGTATTTGTAACAATGTGTTTTGTACTTCAACGTGATTAACATTGATGGGTGAAAATGCACCTTCACGATCAACTTCTAAAACCATTTCCACTTGCTAAAAAATACAAATTTTTTTAATGTCATTTCTGTTCATGAAAAATTTGTAACAAATGCATTCTAATACCAAAAGTTAAGACTAAAATTTATTTACTTTGGAAAAATGAGTATAAGAAAACTTTCGAAGCATTACAAACATAAGTCTTTGCACACGATTCATAAACATACGCCAGTGTCTTTGTTCATCGCCCAAGATCTCCCAACTGTCATCTGAATTTTCATTTAAAACTAACAGCGACATAATGGAGATAACCATAGACAAAAGCTGGCAAGATTTTTTAGAAATATTTTCACAACCGTGATGGAGAATATTAAGGAAAGCTTCTTCATGATTTATAATTAAATTTTGAATCTAAAATTTAAAAAAGTAATACATTAATGTAGAAAAATTATTATAATGCAGAAAAAAAAAAAGAATTTATATAATATTGCTAATTATAATAAGATTTATGAAATAAAATAATTTTGCAAACTCAGAACTAAATTTTAAACCTTCTCAAAAAAATAAATAATTGATTTATAGACTGTTATGAGATTCAAAAATGAAAAATTCATTCTTTTTGATTTAAATTAAAAAAAAATTAAATGATTAGAGAAAAAAATCAAAAAAATTAAATGAAGAGAAAAAAATCAAAAAGTACTTGTTTTGTAGCAATTCGATGACGCACACCAAGAGACGATAAAAAAGCAAGTAACAATTGAGAAACAGCTATGAATATTGATGAATAACGTTCTATTAAAGTAGGTAAAAATGGATCCTGGTTGTTACTGTAAGCCAGAGACGAGGTAGCCATCATTGTAAGTTTATCAATATGGTAATCTAAAAATTGACACTCACTCAAACGAGATAATACTCCAACCTGAATCAATGACTGAGCACCCACATCCGTCAATCCAATTTTGGCCAGCAATGTCTGAAAATTATTTTTTTTTTTAAATAGTCTAAATCAAACAAGAGTAATAATTTTACACTAAATAAATAAAAAACAAATTTTGATAAACCAACCATTTTGGATTGAAACATATATAATGGTTTCATGCTATCAGGCTGCAATGAGAGTATATTAAGTAAATCCACATCATCCTCCTGAAGCTGGTCAACTAAAGCACGTAAATACCCACGAGATGACATAATCGATAAATACCTGCGTTGCCAATCTAGAGAAGCAACCACGTCAAGGACACTCATTGACATCATCTTTGGCATAAATAAAACAGTAATAATGATATTATAAATAGTAAGAACAATATTCATTTTAAGAAAAAAAATTCTTTATAATTTTTTTTTTAAACTCATTTAAATTATATAGTGGTTTGATAGAATTAAATTATTAATCTAACATGTTGAGTGAATTTTAAGAAACTTAAAATATGCAAAGGTTTGTACCCTGTAAAATTTAATTTTAATTAAAAAGGCCAAATATCCTTCTTTGGAAAAATTATATAGACCTTATAAAATTAGATAGACTTTATAAAATTATATAGACCTCAAGACTTTTTGTCAAAAGCCTTATACAATACTTTCAAAAAAAATAGACAATAATATAGAAAATCGATAAAATTTTGTTGCTTAAAGCTTATTTAAACTACCATACAATTGAAAGAAGATATTAAACAAATTTTTTATCTATTTCCAAAAAAAATATCCTTTTTAAACTAATTTTGCATCTTCAATGACTTACTAAAACGTAAAACTGTGTATAAAAACATCAAACATAATTACAAAAAAAAATAACATAAAAAAACTATGATTTATAAAAAATTAATGCAACAAATATAACATCTAAACTAGTATTTAAAACAACCCTCACAAAATTTTTTGCAAGCACATCTATTGTTGCATTGATTTAACAAGATTGTAGTAAACTTTGTTAGGAACTCTCCTTCAAATGGTATTTAATTCTTGCTTGAGGCTATATGTGGATATTATTTATACATTGACTAATTAACGCTAGAAAACTGCATGGAACCATGCAGTCCTCTAGCGCCTCTATATATGTTAGGGCGCAACAAATCGTTTTTTTTTAATGGACGTTGACATTCATATCTTTAATTATCGACGAACGTCTAATTTAAGAGAAATGTCAAATAGGGGAGTTTTATTTTCAAATAAATTTTTATTTTAGTTAATAACTTATTGGATATATCAAAGATATATCCAATAACTTATTAACTAGAATAAAAATGCTTATTGAATTTAATCAATTATCATATTATCAAAGCAATTTTTCATGCATTTGCAAAGTGCTCAGGAATTATTGATTAATATGCAATGATTGTAAACTGTTATCCAACAAAACAAAACTTTTTTTTTTTCAATTTAGTTCATTAAATTTATTTACTCATAAAATATATGTATAAACGTGAAAAAATTAAAATAAAAGGAACTAAAGAAATAAAAATCGCTAAAGTCTCATTATTATTTATATATTATTTTTTATATTTATATTAATAGATTTATAAATTGCTAGAACTTTTTGATTCATGGCCTTCCAAATGTCTAATACCAACTGCTGCATCAATTCAATTTTTGACATGTTTTTGAGACAAAAAGTCTTCAATTAACTGGCCATTAAGCTTTATACACATAATATCTTCTAAGGTGTCGCCATTTAATGAAGTTCACAAAATATTTTTTTGTATGTTCAAAAAAGAAAAAACTGCATCCACAACGTGCCATTGAAGCGCTGAAAGTTAGCATAATTTCTAACAAAACACTTATATTTGCCAATTCAGGTTCATTTTTCAGCAAAATATCTCTATAAATCCTCAACAGTGAGTTTGTCCTTAGTTTAGAGACTTTCTCCCTGAATTAAGGCCACTGCAATACACATAAGTTAGAAGTTTCTCTGCTTATCATACTATTATGCTAATATAAGTTGCAAACTCTTTTTATTTCATTAAATCCCCATTTTTTTTGTCTCTAGCAAACCTGTAAAAGATTTAGGACAGTTTCGACAATCAAAGATTGTGGTTATTAAAATAATCAAAATGATCATTTAGTTGTTGTCAATCTCATCAATTCTCTTTAAATTTTCTTTTTTTAATGCTGTTAAATCAATCCCTTTGTAGATAAACTGATCTCCTTTTACTTCTAAATTATCTAATAAACCTCTGATATTTGAGCCTGGATTAACTGATAACACATCTAGTACAGCAATTCTTGCATCAACTTTATGCAATTAATTCTCACAAATTAAAATTTCTTCTTTTTGAAACTCCAATGACAATGTTGTTAGTGATTTAACAATATCTTAAATAAAATGTAAATAAAATAAAAATTGTGGGTCTTTCATGAAGCACAAAAATCCTTTAGTTTTCTGTAGAGTTTCGTCTTTCTTTTTCGCATTGCTTTTTAAATCAAAAATAATAACTTTATAGTCAGTTTCAAGCAATCTTTACTCTCTTTCTTTGCTAGCTAACTAATAAATATTTTTCAATCTCCCAAGCTGTTTAAACTTTTCATCTAAAAAAGAAACTGAATTTCTTTCAGTTCTTTTCTTCGCTGCGATGAAAAATAGTAAAAACGAAACTAACTATTGATGTTGTCATCAAACTTCTTTAAATAAATTTCAAACTATATTGAATCTAACACAGAAAGTTCTTATCTATGCACCATGCAATGGGTATATAATATACTGGGGTTTTTATTTCGCATTTTAGTTTGAACACCAGCTTTATTGCTGGACATTACAGATGCACCATCAAAAAAACATTTACAGATATTGCATAGATATTGTTTAAATACAAATCTTGATTCATTTTGTCTGTTGTTAAACTTTTTAAAACAAATTCTATTGCATTTAATATACCATCGGGATCAACTGTCAGTGGTGAGTTAATAACATTAACTAAAGTTATTGGATTACCATTTTTAACAAATCTTAAAAAAACTGCTTCTTGTTCACTAATACTCTTATCAGTAGAACCGTTAGATAAAATTGCAATAAAACAAGCATTTGATACATATAAACTTAAGTCACATTTTAAGTCAGACGAAATTGACAAAACAAAGTTTTTGCAAGCTTTGTCACTTTAGTAGTTTTTCAAATCAATTCTATTTATAGCTTTTGTAGCTTGCACAACTGAGGAAATTTTTAAATGCAAGATCCTCTTTAACAACAAAATAGAATATCCAAAAAAGTCTGTTTAATTCTTCTTGGTTATTCTCAGTAGTTCTTAAAATTGATGTTAATGCGGTTTTTTCAAGACTTAGAGTGAAGGTTCTCTCGATATTTAGAAATACAGTTAATAAAAATATCATATTATTGGTGTTGTTAAACGCACAATAAAAAATTAAAACTTTAACAAACATAATAATTTTATATATTCTATTAGATTATGTATTTTTTAGCAAAACTTAAAAATTATTTTTTTAACTTTTAAACTTTTTTTTAATATGCAAACAAACATTACTTCACTTTAAGAAAAACAAGAAAAAAACAAAGTACACTATTGAAAAAAGCAATCATTAAGTTTAAGCATGATTTTTTAAAAAGTAATTGCAAATGTAGTCATTTTAAGTGAAATTTTGAATGCTTTTGTTAACGCATGCAAAAACCATGCACGAAGATAATTACTTTCTTTGTTTCATTGAAGAAAGTAGTTTTAGTGTGGTTTCTTTTAAAGTCTTTGAAAATGCATATAAAATTTTTGTAATTGTTTTTCATTGCAATTGTGTTTTTTATATTAAATAAAAAATGATCAATTGTTTAATTATTTAGAAAAAAAAATAGCTGAAGTAATGCATTCATTTTGAAAAATTTTAAGCAAATGCCAACATTTGTGTAAGGAATTAAAGCTAATACCAACACTCCTGCTGCCACCTCGTAACCATGGTACAACAAAGCCATTATGATACTTTTTTACAACAACTTTGCTTTTTCAATTTATTACTTCGAAGTTATATTTATCAATAAAAACTACATACTTCCACTACTCCAAAAACCTTACACCTTACACCACCTTACACCTTACACCACCTTAATCTTGTGAGCCCTTCTCTAGACATCAGCATAGGTTTTCTAACAGCTGCATTAACACCAATTTGAAATGTTTCTAACTGTATTTGATGCAGTACATTTTTCCAGTTTCTGTTGAATGTGTTGGCAAGTTAGGTATGGTTAAGTTAGCATAAACTTAACCATTGACTAGCTCTTACTTCAAGAAATTTAAGACTGCTTTTTGACATCTTTTAATGTATCTTAACTATTAGATTAAAATATTTAAAAATTAAATGTGACTTGATGAACATAAGTAAATTTATCCAATCTTTTATAGGAAATAGTCAAATTAACATATAAATTAATAAAATAATTACAAGTTGTGTTGAGGAAGTAGAACAGAAACCAATTAAATTTTTTTTTTTTGAGTGTGCAACCTTTTTTGGTATTTTTTCTTTTAAAAGTAAATCATTAAAAAAAATGGGCCTGTTATTGACATATTAGTTGTAGGGAAATATTTTTCCTGTTTTTCAAAAAACAAATTAAGTCATCAGCAAACTCGGATGAGTTTTTATGAAGGTTTGAAAAATGAAAATAAGTTCAAAACAGGACCAAGAATAGAACCTTGAGACCCCAGAATTTAATGAAAACGATGAAAAGTGTTTAAAGATGACTTTAATACTGCAGTTAAAAAGAAATGACTTAATAGTCTCAAAAATTTTTCTAGATGCACCATATGAAACAAGCAAATCAAATCATATACACCATATAAAACAAGCAAATCAAATCATATACATCATATAAAACAAGCAAATCAAATCATATACACCGTATGAAACAAGAAAATCAAATCAGCATGCCAAACTTTATTGAAAGTTTTTTTAATGCCAGGAGCAATTGAGAAATGCGATAAATCTTGTATAATCTTGGAGCAATAAACTTTGCCTGGCTCAATCTAATGCACAACAGAACCATTCAGTTACACCAGTTGGCAAGTCAACTGTAGAATAAGAATATCAAAATTTGTATCAACTGTCAGAGAGTAAGTTAGACTTAAGACGAGATTTGAGAAATTTGTTGACTAAAGAATAAAAGACTTTGCTAATAATAGATAAAAAACTGATTGGATGATAGTTGGAAGAGTAAGAGAGATATAAGCAATGGAAGCCAAAGTGATTTGGATGACTTAAGCAATGGAAGCCAAAGTGATGTATGTCCATTAAATTCAGGAGTCAAATTAGAGTTAGTTCTTCCTTATTCTTGGGAGAGGTAATAAGATCAGAACCATGATGGAATTAAAGATGAAACATTTGACTTATCTTTGTTAATGACGCTGTTGAAGATTTTCCCAAAGTGTAACTTCTGAGATACAAGATTTAGTAAACTGGGAATAATAGAGCTTAACATTAATCAGCACATTACATTACTTTGATTTCTTGCAATAATAAAAAGATGTTTGTTCTCAAGAATATTGAAAACCATGGAGTAGAATGAGGCTTGACTTGGAACTGACAAGAAGGAATAAAAGCTTCCGTTCTTGCCTGAATCCAGTAGGTTAAGTAGGAGGCGCATTTTTCAGCAGAGAGGGAAAAGACATCAGCCTAAGGACCATCATGAAGAAAATTACAAAAAGAATCTCAGTCAGCTTTAGGGTAGTGGTAAGTAGTGCAATGATAGGGTGAGTCCAAAAAGAAAGTACAAGATGAAAGAATTAAAGAGATCTTTGCATGGTCAGAACCACCTAAGGGAAAAAAAGGAGAAACTGAAAACAAGCTAGGATCAGAGACATGACATAAATCAATGAGTGAAGGTAAATGGTTAGGGTTGTCAGGAAAACAATTCACAAAGTTAACTATCTGAGTAAGAGATTGAGAAATGCAGAAGTTATAGGTTTTAGTGCCAGCATATATATATATATATATTCAAGTGGTGTTAGAGTCAAGCCATTAAGTGTGATGAGCATTTAAGTCACCAATAACAACAATATTGGCAGAGGGGTAAAGAGAGCATGGTCAATTTGATCAGAAATTACATTTAAAAAAGTGCAGTCTTGAGAGGAAGGAAAATAATAAAGAACAAAAAGAAAAGAGATCGAAAGAAAAGGGACTAAATAGAAGCACATAAAATAATGGTCAGAGAATTTGTCTTGATGCATAAGTATACATTCAAGCTAAGCATGCAACTATTGGTGTCTTTGCAAAACAAAAGATAATAGCCATCTATACTGTGATCTGAAAAAGAAACAGTTAAATACAAATTAGTCTCACAAAGAACCAGTACGTCTGGTATATTTTAGAACAGGTAAGATTCGAAAATGAGTATTTTTATTGAGACACCATCAACCAAGAGAGCAAGCTTTAGAAAAGCAAATCTAACAAGGCAGCAGGTAGTAACAGGTTACATGTTACCAATAGCAGAGTTATAGTGAAGATTCTGAATCTGACCTGACTAGTAGTAGTCAAAAGAAGTTACTTTTGTAAGCAATACTTTTAAAAAACTGTACAGGAGATTTTGGAAATGCATTTGAAATAAAAATACATAAAAAAAGGATACTGGAAATTAAGCTGAAATAATGTTATATAGTTGTAGTCACTAGTTGGTAACTAGATGAACAAAATTTTCAAAAATTCAAAACATTTTCCTATTTTTGTCAATATCAGTCACACCAAAGGTTCATACAGCTTTTTACCATGTTAAAGAACTCAAAAATTGTCAATATAAATTTGTAAAAATACTTTTTATTTTTGTCTTTAATATTTTACATTTAAGAATTTTTTTAACTATAAATATAGCTTATTGTAAGAAACTGTATATTTTTGGCTATAAATATAGTTTAGCAATATAAAACTATAAAAAATAAATGGATAGAATTTTTTAGTTTACAATAATAAAAAAATATTTTCAAAGAACTAGAGTAATATTTATAGATAGACATCTGTTACATATCTCAATTGTTTAAACATTACAGGTAGACATCTGTTACTTATCTCAATTGTTTGAACATTACTGTAGACATCTGTTACTTAACAACTCATAATTAACAATTCTCAACTTTTGTAAAAAGCCTACAAAGATGATGTGCAGCCAGTTTTTTTAGTAAAAATTTATATTTAAAAAAATAATTTAAATTACTAGACTACTAAAATATTATTTTATATATCTACACACACACACACACACACACACACACACACACACACACACACACACACACACACACACACACACACACACACACACACACACACACAGAGAGAGAGAGAGAGACTATTTTAGTAATCTTGTAATTTATTTAAATTTTTTTTACATATAAATTTTTACTAAAAAAAAATTTTTTTTAAAGTTATTTTTAAGTTATAGTTTCTTTTAAAAATTTAAAGAAAAAACCTTATGCAATAAACAATTTGTCAAAATGACTTAGGAATACTTTTATATAAAAGACTTTAATAATCTATATAAATGAAAGTGAAACCTTACCCTTGATATACAAGATCCTTGACATGTATCTTTTGCAACTACTTCAAAAAACATGTCACCATATTTAACTAGTTCCTTTGCTGCCACTGTTTCCCATCCTTCTTTTGATTGCTTAGAAAAAATATCTTCTACAGCACCTGTAAATGTAAAAGTTTCAGTAATAATTTAAATGACCAGAGAAATATTAGGAGCAGATTACTAACTGAAATATCTAGTACCTGCAACAATAGAATTTTGCATATTTCCAATTTGCACATAATACAAGAATGCTCCATATAGATTAGCTCTCATGCGAGCTTGTTTAGCAGAAGTTATTGCTGAAATAATAGATGGAAGCAAGCCAGAGATGGATGACATAAAAGGATAATTTTTTGAAGAAACCCTTAAATATATCAAACAGGATTAGAAAATGCTTTTTTACTTTTAAATAAATTATTTTAAAATAAAAAATAAATTACTGAATAGTTTAATTATTATGATACAAATAAAAAATACAACATAAAAACCTTTCAAACTGAGCAAACAACAACCATAAATTAGCCATTAAACTCAAAATAGTTCCAGTTATGGGAGATGTAAGTTCTGGTAAGTGCTCAGTATTGTTTAACTAAAAATATAGCTTAAGTATTAAAAATTAAGTTAGAAACAAACAGAAAAGTGTAAAAATAAATAACAAAATTAAATACAAAAAACACTTACCTGTAAAAATAATTCCTTTAGAAGAGTCACAAGAATAGTCTGCTTATCATTAAGAGATAAAATATCGTCAGGGCAAACTGCAAATATTACTTCAACTACTTGACGCCAAGCATCAAAACTATTAGTTTTAGCAATAAAAGATTCTCGCACAAGATTGCGATCAACTGCATGCTTTATAACCAATTTTACTTCCTTCATCATATAAAAACAAATGCATACATTTAAGCAAGATATGATATAAATAATAGTATTTCAGAAAAGTTTAAAAACATCTAACAATACCAGGATATACAAGAATGTTTAAACTCATTAAGTTGTCTGAATATTGGTTTAAACCCAAAACCTTTTAAAAGTTAAAACTTATACACATATATATATAGATGCATATATATATATGCATATATATTAGGGGTGTCCACTATGCAAAAAATTTTCAAAACCACCCAAATTGAATTTTTCCCATTCTAGTGTTTGTGTACAGTGTAAAAAAAAGTTTTACTAAATTTTAATGACTATTCTAGAGCCCCCTCAAAGCCCCTAAAGATAAGCCCCAATTTCCTGTTTAACCCATTAGTGCCTGAGTTTGTGTTACATTTTACGATTTATAGAGCATCCCATTTTTTGAGGACGCTAGGCATGAATGGGTTAAAACAGTAGCACATTTTTGCATTGATTACAAATTTCATAAACAAGCAAATTAATATTATGATATTGACACAATTTAATATGTAATATTGACTGTTATAATTATTTTGCTGTTTCCTGTTTTAGTTAAATAAATTATTGACAAGAAGTGGTAAAGTTGTAGAAACTGAACTCAAGTCTTTGCCAACCAGTTCCAGTTGTTTGTCAGACACAACCGACCAGCCTTCACCGTTGTCATCATCATCAACAACTAGGCCTCTACTAAGTTTTGGTTAATTGGACACCCATCACCATCGATAACTGGTTCCAAACTACCCAATTGCAGACAGGTTTTGAAATTTTTTCTTTTTTTACGACGCGATGAAGAAAATGTCCCAAATCGTGTAACAAATCAAGAAATTGGCTATATAGTAATCGACACTGTTGTAACTTTCTGGAACATGGCACGCATCAAGACAAAGATAAGACAAAATTCGGTGTTAGATCTTATGTGTCTCTGGAATGAGTGGAACCGCTTGTTGAAGAACAAGAATCGCAAAAATGATGCTGGCAGAAAACGTGTTAACTTCTTGGCTAAGTTGGATAGTCTTTTCGATATTGGATCACCTGATGCTATACAGGAAATCATGAAATCCAGGCTACTGACTGCCCAAAAGAAAGAAGATGATGTTATATTCTATTTAGATAAAAAAAAAAGACAGAAAGGCAACTATGGACGGGCATGACAAAATCTTTGAGATTAAAGCAAAAATGAAAGAAGTTAGATATAATTCGAAAACCATACTTAGAGATGAAGAAAAAGAAAGAGTAGAAAAAGAAGGTAGACAGGATGATCAGGATGATGAGGACATGGAAGTTAATGATGAAGAACATAATATTAATGAAAATATTGCTGTTGCTGAAGTAGATATTGGTTTAGGGTGGGACTTGAATTATGAACCTCCAATGAATAGACAATCAGAATTTGTTACTCTTCACCTCCCCAAAAAAATTATGCAATGCGAGGAAATCACTTCTGCAGCAGACAGGCTGAAACTGTCTGATAATAAAACAACTATGATTGTGTCTGCTGTAATTAAAGCTGCTGGTGGAAACTTGGACGATTTTGATATCTCCAGATCGACATCTCGTCGAACTAGAATGATAAATCGACAGAGGATTGCTGAGAGTGTTATAGATAATGTGAGGCTCAGCCCACCCCAGTTTGGTGCCCTTCACTGGGACGGATTTTTAAATTGCTAGATTTTAATTGCTAAAAGACATACTAGACGTGCAACATGAACAGTTAGCTGTGCTTGTGTCAGGTGCTCCAGAATACAGCGAGGGAAAATTGCTTGGTGTTCCTGTTCTTGTTGATTCGAAAGGACAGACTCAAGCAAATGCAACATTGGATCTCCTAGAAGCTTGGGATCTAAGCAACAATGTTGTAGCATTGGTATTTGATACCACTGCCAGTAATAGTGGCATCCACAATGGTGCTGCTAAATTGATTGAAGAAAACTTAGGTCGAAAACTTCTATATCTTGCCTGTCGACATCGCATTTTTGAAATCTTTGTCAGAGCATGTTGGAAGAAATTATTTGGAAACATTTTTGGTCCAGAGAATAAATTCTTTGCTGAATTTAAAAACTGCTTGGCCAGCATTGGATAAACAGTTGCCAATCGAAACTTTAGCTGAAGGCACCTGGTTGCAAAACCTCAAAGAACAGACCATACAGCATTTGACACATCTACTTGCTAACGAAGATGCTACAACATTTCCAAGAGATGACTATCGTGAATGTGCTGAAAACACACTGATCATCTTTGGGCAAACTCCACCACGGGGTGTACACTTTCTTAAACCAGGAGCTATCCACCAAGCTCGGTGGATGGCATGTAACATTTATGCGAACAAAATGTTCATGTTTTCTAAACAATTGCCTTATGATAAGAGGATGACGACCAAACTTTTTAGAATGAGCAGATATCTTTCTCTTTTCCACACACCAAATTGGACAAAAGCTAGCATTGGTGCTGATGCACCTATGAATGACCTGCAATTCATCCACGACATGATGGACTTTAAAGAAATAGACAAAGAAGTTGCTGATGTCATTCTTTCTAAAATAACCAATCACCGATGATATTTGACAGAAGAGGTAGTTCCATTTGCTTTCTTCAGCAAACATGTTAGTTCCACTGTGAAAAAAGATTTGGCAGCAAAACTCTTGGAAATTCCAGTACCCAAAAATTTTCGTCTTGGTAAGCCAGTTTTTCGTCAAATCACTCACCAAACAGGTTTGTCAAATCTTCTGGGACCTGAATCTCACTCATTGTTCAGCATTCTTGGCATCAATACAGATTGGCTTGCTAAACCAATTGAACAGTGGGCAGAGCAACCAGGATACAAAGAAGCTGTAAAATTTGTTCGTACAGTAAAAGTTGTAAATGATACTGCAGAAAGAGGAGTTAAACTGATTTCAGAATTTGCCACCATCATAACCAGTGATCCAGAACAAAGAGAATGGTTGTTGCAGGGCGTTGAAAATCACAGGCAGCAATATCGCAGAACTAGCTTGGTTAAACTGGATAATTTAACATATATTATGCATTAAATACTTATAACATATAACTTATAACATATATTATGCACTAAATACTTGAAAAATGAGATTCACAATAATTATTTCTCTGTGTTTTAACTAAAAAAGATACTGTTTTAAACAGGAAATTTTATATATATATATATAAATATATATATATATATATATATATATATATATATATATATATATATATATATATATATATATATATATATACACTCTTGCATGGTAGCCAGAAAGTTTTTCCCATAAACTGTAGTTTTAAAAAGCGTGTTAATAAACCAGACCAGAAAAAGTTTGAAAACTTAAATAATTTTTTTTTTCTTAAATGATAGACTGCCTGCCCAAACCAAACCCTCAGTCGATGTAGCAGCACTACCTTGTGAGTCAGACTATTTGTCAGTTGATGTAGCAACACTCCATTGCGAGTCAGGCTATAAGATAGTCGATGTAGTAACACTCCCTTGTAGTAGCAGGCTATAAGATAGTCGATGTAGCAACACATGTTTTAAAAATATATTTTATCAAACAACAACAAAAACACCATTAATTAAAAAAAACTTTATAGTCATTATTATTGCGGTTTTTTTAAAAAACAATAAAATTTAATGTACTTCCGCATTAATTTATTGCTTTGACATATCGACGACAATAAAATACAGCTTAAGAGATGAGGTAAAAAAATTGTAGTCGAAAGAGACTTTTTTTACTATAAAAGTTTCTTTCGACTACACTATAAGGATATATATATATATATATATATATATATATATATATATATATAAAAAATCATCCAGTTAATGTTTAACGCCATTTTACTCTTGTTTTTAAAGTAGATTTAATTAGTTACTAGGCTTTTCTGATCTTGAATTTTGACTGTGCGCATTTTGAGAGAGCATTTTCAAAATCCACGCAACCATTGGAGAAAGATTTACCAAGCAAGTTAAAACTTTTTACCTTTTGGAATTAAATTATTATTTATTAGTTTAAAAAAATTAGATAAATTATAATAGAAATATTAAGATCATATTGTAATAGAAGTATAGAAAATAGTTTAGCAATTGATATATTACCTTTTTATTTGGTATAAAGTTGAAAGGATCACCCCCTTTATTCTTAAAATTGTTTACATTTTTTTTTTTAACTGTTTTGTTTTTATTGAGCTTATATTTTATTTTTTAGAAGGAAAATAGGGGTATTAATGAGGCCTAATGTTTTATGCACTTTTTTTAAGTTATAATATAGATCATAATACGATTACTATAAAATTATTTGTTACTGCTTTACTAAAATGTTTTCAGAAATCCTAAAATAATATAATTCAATTTACATTGAATGCTACTATTTTATACTTAGCTTATTTTAGATTATTAGTTTATTGAGTCAATAAAATGTCAAATGTCAATAATTGACAATTATGTGAGCTAACACTGACATTTTATTGTTTGTAAAGGTTAAATTTTGTTATGAGGATTGCAGTTCTTTTTTTTTTCTTCTTTTTTATTCATTAAGTATTTGACTTAAATTAAATATGATTATAATTTGATATTTTTATTAAAAGATATGTTTATAAATAAAATTTCAAGGTTTTGAGTATTGTTTGTATATATATTTATATTTTATTTACTTTAAATCTTATTAAATTTTCTCATGTCATTTTTAAAATTTTTGTTTGCCCAATTCAAGTTATATGTTTATTGTTTACCTATATGTTTATATTATGTTCAAAGTTTAATTAGTTTTTGATAAATACGTGTATGTGGTGATATTTATTATATAAATGTTTTATAAATCTATTTTTCTACTGTAAAATGTATTTTAATGTGCATATATTGTTATTTAAGGTGCTTATATATGTTATATAAGGTTAAATAAATATATATTGTGTTTACAGCTGGACTTGAAAATAATTGTTGTCCAATTGAAAAAGGTAGAGCTAAGCAAGATGAAAATAATTGTCCTTGAAATGTTAGAAATGCTGAAGTGTAAAGCGGTGTTAATGTCTGTTAATTTAATTTTACTTTAGGTACTTAAGAACAGCTAAGTATAAATTTTTAGACACTTAGGAACAGCTAAGTATCAATTTTACTACTTATAATAACAATTAATAACATTTTTAAATTTGAATGATTTTAAATTTTTTTATAAGTTCAAAAATAATATCATTCATTTGTCTTTGTTATCACTTGATTCGTTTGCTTACAGTTGAAACATGGTTTTTAAGTTAATTTATATGATGCAAAATTTACTCTATTAATCATTAGTCAACAGTAAGGGAGAAGATGGAACTTTACATAATTAAAGTAAAAATAATTTTACTGTCAACATAATAAAACCAGTTTTTATGGTTATTTGTGTTACAGCTATTTTGTGCAACGATGCTGTTAACAGTAACTATTCTTATGCTTAAAAATATTTTTGTCTTTTTTAATTATTTATTGAGACATTGTAATATCTGTAAAGTGTGCTTATAAAATATGTTATGCTACCCGCTATTGTTACAGTGTTTTTGTGTTATGCTACCCGCTATTGTTACAGTGTTTTTGTGTTATGCTACCTGCTTTTGTTACAGTGTTTTTTTGTTATGCTACCCGCTATTGTTACAGTGTTTTTGTGTTGTGCTACCCGCTATTGTTACAGTGTTTTTGTGTTAACAGAGCTAGGCTGTTATAGCTATTTTTTATTCTTTTTATTTTCTATTATATTATTATTTTAATTCTTTTAACAATATAATGCATAATATTTTTGTAAAAGAAAATTGTAAATGACTTTGGTGATAATGAGCCAAACTTAAAATATTATTTATAGATGAATTTGTATTTAATCACATTTTGGTAGATAATATATCAAGTTATAAAGTTTAACATTTTGTTAAACCTTAAGACTTTATGAAGCAATTTAAAAAAAACCTTTTGACTTTAAGTTTTTTAGATGTAATAAACCTGAAAAGTCAGGTACTTTTAGTACATATTATCAAAATAAGGTAAATAATTAAACGATTAGGTGCAAGGTGTTGCGTATTCTTGTGGTAAAATATACTTTATTTAATTACTAATGTTACTTTTACAATTATCATTATAATTATTATTATTATCATTATAATAGTAATTATATAATATAATAATATAATATAATATCAATATAATAATAATTATTATCATAATTACTATTATTGATATCATATTTTTATTACTTGTAACTATTTGCATCATTATTCATATTACAATGTTGAATATTCTTTACTTTATATTTGTACTTCTACTATTGCAAATTTCCTAGAAATGTTAAATCTTACTTTGAAATATATAAAAAAAATTTGGTGCCAATATATTTTTGATTGAAACATTATTGACAGACTCTTTCCCAGTTTCCCATTTGAAGAAAATATAAAAAATTAAATAAGAATTAAGTTCATTGTGTTCATTTCACCTGTGTTTCATTTCATGTTTCACCTGTGTTCATTTTATATAATAGTCACAGCAATTAATATAAAAATATGAAACATTTCAAGTGTAAATTTAAAGCAAAAAGAAGTGAAGGAATATTGATAATTTTACTACTAAAATAAAAATATTAAGAAGCTCAAATTTCAGATGCTTGTCTACTTCGACAAACATTTATGCCAGTTATCAAAACAACAGGACTGTGCCCTCTATATTAACATATAGAGGGAAAATAGAATAAAAACTGTATTTACATGAATTTTCATAATAGGTTTTATAACTTTGTGTAATACTTTTTATCCTGGGAATTTATTTACCAAATACTAGAATTTTGGAATAGATCATGTGATTTTTAAATAACTTTTTTTATTGAAAGAAAATAACATATTTTTAAGTAACATTTTAAGAAAATTAATGACATGGCACAATCAAAATTAGGCTATAGAAAACTCTTTTATACAACTCTATTATAATTTTATACATAGGTAAATATTAAATTATAAGGAAAATAATGTTTTTATCGATAAAATATGCATATGTAATTATTTTCAAATAGTTTGAATTAGCATTTTTATAACATGTTTATCGAATGTTATTATAACTTGTTTTGAGGAAAAATTATTTTTTTCAGGCACCCAAAGATAACCTATCAGTTTTGTCACAGAGTACGGCAGAAAAGCATTCAACTAGGAAGCTCATACCTCCTTTCTTACCGATGATGTAAAATGTGCTCAGAGCTTGCATTGAATCTTGGATATTTTGCTAGCAAGTGCTCTAATGACTGTACCATGGTTGCTAACAACTACATCTACTTCTACATTAACTTCTAAGGTTTCATTAACAACTACATATAAAGTTCATCACCAAAATAACTTCTTGTTTTAGTTGCAAAAAGTTCAGCTACAAAAAAGATTTTAATATTTTTTATTATTGTCATTAAAAAATCACACTTTGCAAAAAGTATGATTTTTTAATGACAATAATAAAAAATATTAAAATCCAGGAAATTCAAAACGAAATATTAAAAAAAATATTTCCTTTTGAATTTCCTGGGATGTGCTTTTGTTATAGCTTTTAAGTTTGTCTAAATTATTTAAAAGTTTTTCAACTTTTATTAGTCTTTTATTATTTGCTTCTATGGCATATAAAAGTACGGCATGTTAATATTAATAAAAAAAGAGTACCATGTTAACAAAAATATATCAAGATAAATCTTTACATTTTTTTTCATTAACATAAACTATTTAGAATGGTTTACTATAAAACAGTTGTTTTTTTTCAAAAGAGAAAACATTAAAAATTTATTTTAAATGGTAAAAAAAAAAATTAATGTTTTTGAGCCCTTTATTTTATCTATAACTGTTACTTATTAATTCACATACAGAGTGTTCACAAAACTAATGCATTAATTTACATAGAGTGTTCACAAAACTAATGCATTAATTTACATACAGAGTGTTCACAAAATTAATGCATTAATTTACACACAGAGTGTTCACAAAACTAATGCATTAATTTACATACAGAGTGTTCACAAAAAATTTAAATTTAGAACAATTTCTAAAAGCAAGTCAAATAAAAAAAATTAACTAAATAAAAATTAAGAAATCAAACTTTAATTTAGGATATTAATTTTTCACTTCTAAAAGTTAAAAAATATTTTAAAAATGCAACAATTGTTTTAAAAGGGCAATAACAAACTGTATAAACAATTATTTAAAATAAAACACATACGTTTAATAACTCATAGCGTTGTCCTGTTGTAATTTGTGAGTTATTGATTTCGGTCATGAGCACCTTATAAAGCTTCTTTACATTACACAGAGATGTAACTTCATCAGTTTCTTCACAGTTTATAAATAACTGCTCAACAGCAGAATAGTCAAAAAAATTTAAACTGATGTTAGGAGGATAGTCCTGTACAAATGACAGTGAAGATAAAAGAGATAGTATCAAACTTTTTGACTCTGCATTTAGTTTAAAAGATGGTCCCATAAATGATTGTCCAGTATCATTATGAGTTAGATCAGGATAATTAGCGTAGTTGCTGGCAGAAGTTGAAGTGCAATCATTTGAGCAAGAGTCATTAAACAAAACAGCAATTAATTGCTGCAAACTTGATCTGGCATGGCTGGCAGCAATAACTTTAATTTCAATTGCAAGTGCTTTTAGTAACCATGATTGTTGGTTAGCCAATCGAATAAACTTAATTTGATCAACATCAATTTCATTTTTCAAAAAGGGTAAAACAGAAGAATGCTGAACAAAAAAATTTAAGCTTGTTCTGAGATATCTCCTTGTTGGCAAACCCATTTCTTGATGCGAACACATGAGATACAAAATGTGGTACAATAATTCTTTAAATTTTGGTGTATAAGACATCGTAGTTCTATTCAAAATAGTGATGATTGAATGAAAACATGTTTTTGGAAAGCCTTTCACACCTATTTAAAAAATATCTATAAATATCTATATATATATATATCTATATATATCTATATATATCTATATATATCTATATATATCTATATATATATATATATATATATATATATATATATATATATATATATATATATATATATATATATATATATATATATATATATATATATCTATCTATCTATCTATCTATCTATCTATCTATCTATCTATCTATCTATCTATCTATATATATATATATATATATATATATATATATATATATATATATATATATATATATATATATATATATATATATATATATATATATATATATATATATATGTATATATATATATATATATATATATATATATATATATATAAAATATATATATATATTTATATATATATATATATATATATATATATATATATATATATATATATATATATATATATATATATATATATATCTATATATATATATCTATATCTATATATCTATATCTATATATATATATATATCTATATATAAATATATAGATATATATATATATATATATATATATATATATATAGGGCTCGAATTAAGCGTATAAAGCGAGCCCAGGGCTCGAATTAAGCCAATTAAGCCCAGGGCTCGAATTAAGCAAATAAAGCGAGCCCAGGGCTCGAATTAAGCGTATTGTGATCGCAAATTGCGATTGCTTTTCACACCTTTGCGATTAGTTTTTTCTTAAAATATATATATTTTCGCGATTAGTTTACTTTTTTAGTTGTTTATTTACTATTTTTCTAATTTAGCTTTTTTTTTGGCAATTCTTAAAAGTAATGTTTTCATAGTAGAGTACGCCACGCAAAGTTTGTCTTTTGAATAGAAGCATGATCATTTGCTCTTTCGTGCGAAGATTTTTTTTTAACGTAAAACACTTTTTAATTTAAATTACTTTTAATCTCTGCGTAGAAGTAAATTATAAAGAAAAAATTTAAAAAGAATTTTTTCTTCATTCTATTTTTTTTAACAAAACAGCATTTTTATCTTTTTTTAAAAGAAACGTTGCTCCAAATTAACTTATTAATAATGATTTAAATTATTATTTTATAAACAATTTTATATGACTATTTTTACTACTTTAAGTATAATAAAATATCTATAAACTCGTTTTTATTAAATAAAATTTCTATTAGTAAAATGTGCTAATAGAAACCAGCAACTTTTTTGCTTTCGCGTTTTTCGCATTAACAACCTTGAAGCTATTGAAGTTATATTTAGTTAACTTTACTGAATGGATAGAGTATATCATAGTAAATTAACTTATAACCTAAATAAAAACAACCAGTTAAGTTAAGATAGTAACTTACAGTTACTCAAGTATTAATTTAACAATTATATTAATTTATTTAATATACTCGCAAAAGTTAGCCATAGACATGTTTCAATTTAGATCTTACATGTTATTAACACATATAAACTTCTAAGTAATAACTATTTTAACAAAAATTGTCGAATAGAATATAAAAAACGCGACACCATTTTTTTATATTTTCATTTTATTTATAACGACATCTAGACTAAACATTTTTTATAAATGCGCAAGTTGTTTTCAGGAATTTTATTTAAAAAGAAATCAATTTGAACAAGAGAACTTAAAATTTACTTATTCAAATAATTTTGTGATTAAAATTTGAAATTAAAAAAAAATTAAAAAATTAAAAAAAGTGTGATGAAACAAGAGAGAATGAAAAAGAAAGTTTTTTTTTCTTAAATCGTAAATTTTGTTAACGTTTTGAATTATATATTTTTTCTTGAAAATAGTTTTAAAAGTAGAAACATTCTATTGCAAACATCAAAGCAGAGATTGCAAATTGCATATTAAAATAAAAATAAAAAATTTAAATTAAATTTAATAAATTATTTTACTTCTGTTCGAAAAATTTTTTTCCAAAAAAATAATTTAAGCATATTCTTATACTTAATATAATTCGATTTATTAAACAAAATTTTTTGTTTCACTTTTTTTTGGAAAACAATTAGAATAAAAAAAAAATTGAATGAAAACATCAGTTTAAAAACCATTTGAATGAAAAACATAAATTATACTTAAACTTTTAATAGTACGCTTGATCAGGAAACAATAATATATAAAAAACGTGGTATCGAATGTTTTTTTGCTTTGATCTTACTTGTTTGGTCGATAGATTATAAACTCGTATAGGTCTATTAGCGCAAATATGATATTTTGTTTTAGTTTATTAACTAGATCAGTTTTATTTATTTGCTTCCTTTTATTTTAAACATGTCTTATTTTATAAACTGTATAAATCAACACGAAACAGCGTCACGAATTTGTTTTACATTATTCCAAGCTCTTTATATTTTTAAAACAACTTTGCAGTTTGTTTTAATGTTGCTTTATAGCTTTTAACAATTAAATACCTTTTAAAATTAACACGTGTTTTAACGTCAGCATGAACGTATTAAATAGTTTTCTTTGACTAATTAAATTGGTTTAGATAATGTAATGTTGCTTTTTCTGTTACTTTTTTACTTTTACTTTTTTAAGTATCATGTTAAGTAAAAATATACTTGAAGAAAAATCTTAATAGTATTAAAAACTTTATTGCTTATTACAACTGCAACTTAAACTTTAAGTTATAACTTAAGTTGTAAATAATAACAGTAAATTACGCTATTTTAAACTCTGCCAAACAAGAAAATTAGAAGATTATATTTAAATATGAGAGGTAATATGTTAAAAATAGAACAATTTCGTACAAAAGTTACAATTATATACTAATGCAACTCCCCTCCCCCCCATTACCGCAAAGCAGCGCAAGGTATAGGAGGGGGGGGGGGGGGGTGAAACTTTTTTTTTTCACGATTAGATTTTTTTGCGTTAATTCGAGCCCTGATATATATATATATATATATATATATATATATATATATATATATGTATGTATTAATTACATATTTGTATTCCATATATATTATTGCTCTATGTAAAGTAGACTTGAGTAATGAAAATATAGGTCATTACACTTTTCAATACTTATTTATACTTTCAAAAACACAACAAATTTTGAAAAATATTTCTGTTTTCTCATAGTGGCTAAGTTTTGAAATCTTTCTGAATGTTTTAACTCTTTTGAGAAAACTATTTACTTATGTAGCACATTTAGATTCCGTTTTTTGGTACTATTTCATACAGTTAGGTACAGTAATTTAACATTAAAAATATGACGAGTGCAATTAAAATGTGGCTTCAAAAAATAAGAAATAATAAAAACTTCCTCCAAAAATCTTCATATATATATATATATATATATATATATATATATATATATATATATATACACACCTTGTCCAGAAAGTTTAAATGCACTTGTTTTTTTAAAAGTTAAGGTATCTTTAAAGTGATACAAAGAGAAAACATGAGGCAGGGTCCAGGTTTTTTTTTTTTTACTATTCTTAGTCGATTATTAATTAAGAAAAAAACACAACTTTGAATAAGAAAAACACAAAATCTTTTCTGAAATTAAACAACAAACTCAAGTAATCAAAAGATTACTTAGAAGAAAGTGCAATAAAGTTTAAACGCACCTACTTCTTTTAATTTCTTTTAATCAAACTTCTTTTAATCTTCTTCTAAAACTTCTTTTAATCGAAATATATTAATACGGAATATGACCCCTGTTGTTTTTAATACATGCTTGTATTCCCCTTGGCATTGATTCAATTAAGTTTTTAATCATCTTAATTGGTATTTCAAGCCACAGTTTGGTCAGTTCTCGTTTAAGCATTTCGTGACTAGTTATTTGTTTTTTTGTTAGTTGATAATCCATCTAGCTCCATAAATTTTCAATTAGGTTCAAGTCTGGTCATCGTGCTGGCCAATGCATAAGTTGAATATTACTTTTAAGGAAATAATCAGTGATTAAATGCGCTGTATGGCATGGAGCATTGTCTTGTTGAAATAACCAGTTTTAATCAACCTGGAACAAATCGCGACTAGGGATAAGCCTAATTTCTAAAATGTCACGGTACTCATACTGGTTTAATCTTCCTTCGTATATTTTATGACAGCCAACGCCTGAGCCTCATATACAACCCCATATGCCGACGGAACCACCGCCTTTTTGAATACAGCTTTATAGGTGTTGCTTCAAATATTTTTCTGTATTTTTGCGGAAAACAAATCTCTTGTTTTTTCTGTTAATAATTTCGAAATTTGATTCATCACTAAAGATAATCATTTTCCATTGTTCTACTAAATAATTTAAACGCTCTTTGCACTATTTTTTTCGTCTTTGGCGAACGGTTAACGTCAACAAAGGCTTTCTTACACAATGAAACGAATTTAATTCTTTCTTGCGTAATAACTTACTTATAGTCATTTGACTAACTGTTTTGTCTACCAGCGAACTATTGATTTCTGCACTTAAAGTTGATACTCCCGCTTTTGGGTTACATCTGCTTAGCATGTAAAGCATGTTTTCATTGCGTGCTGTCAGTTTTTTCGGACGCCCAGTACGAGGTTTATCATTGACACTACCAGTTGATAAATAATTTTTTGTTGTTGTACGAACGCTGAATTCAAAAATATTTAGGCGTCTGCCACTTTCTCTATTGTTTATTTTCATTTTATGCATTCCAATGACTTGCCATTTTGTTTTTGACAAAACAGCTTTTTTACCCATTAAAATATGATATTTTGACAAAGCTGTATCAGTTGAAAATTGCTATATTTTGAATCAAATCTTATCTGTGGTTTTTATTCTAAATAAAATAAGAATAGGAATCCAAATGAAATATACTAACGTTAACAGGCTGTTGAGTGATAAAAATGCAAAAGACTTTATAAAAAATCTCTCAATAAACGAGTTTTACGCGTTTTCTTATCAAAGTGCGTTTAAATTTTATTTCAAAAAATTGATAGGAGTTGATTGCTCAGTTACTTTTTTCATCACTCTCCACCTCCATTATAATATCCATACAATTTTTTTTTATATCTAAACTAATAACTTAGTTAAATAAATATAAAAATACAGAGCATATCTCATTAATTTATCGGGTTATCATTTCTTAAAAGTATAAGTTAAAAAAACAAGTGCATTTAAACTTTCTGTACAAGGTGTATATATACATATGTATATATATATATATATATATATATATCGTTTTATGTAGTGTTGTATAAAAATAATACACAACTCTTGTTCGTTGAAAAGTGCTCAATATTTAAGAAATTTATTTTGATTATATATAAATTTCATAACAGAGCGGTTTATAATATATATATATATATATATATATATATATATATATATATATATATATATATATATATAATCTTCATAAATTAATTAAAAAAATTTTATAGTTCGAAATACGGTTTTATTAACAAACATTCTTTTGTAAATAAAAACTGTCTGGTTATCCTGCCAGGCTACTGACATGCATTTTTTTTTAATTTTCAGTTGTCCTTTGAAATAATAAGTTGTCCTGTGCCACTGGATGAATATGAGGGTACACCTCTGAGATATAAACAATTTTGTAAACTGAATGAACTCTCTCCAAGTTTTCTTTTTTCTATACTTTCTTCCAAAACTGCAAACTCTCTACATGTTGATACACATGTTTCATTATAATACTCCAGTTCCATATAGCATACAACTTTTTCAGAATCTTTAACAATACACTGCTTGCTGTAAGTATTGGATATAATTCTTTGGACATGGCTTACCACAACTTTTCTTTAATTTTATAGGATTTCAAGTTTGTGTACAATTTTTTTAGTTAAACTGAGCATTTTCTGCTTTTGCTTAACTTTACTCCATTAATTTTACTTTAAAATGGTACAAAATTACCTACCAGGTAGTTTTGTACCATTTACCAAGCCTGACAAAAATTGGAAACAAAATAAAAAATTCAATCCTAACTGTATTATAAAGAAGCAATCGTTGAACTCAATTCAGTAGAACCTATTTCAAATTATAATTAACATTCTATATCCAAAAAAGCCAAAAAAATCAAAACATTCTGATATTTTTAAAATAACTTTTGTGTTTGATATGACACTCAAAACTTCTTACAAAAGAAAACTTTACCAATTTAACATACTACTGCATATATATATATATATATATATATATATATATATATATATATATATATATATATATATATATATATATATATATATATATATATATATATATATATATATATATATATATATATATATATATATTACAAAAAGCACAATTCAACATATTACTGCATACATATGGTATAAAAAGAACTTTACCAATTCAGCATACTATTGCATAAATATATATTACAAAAAGAACTTTACCAATTCAACATACTACTGCATACATATATATTACAAAAAGAACTTTACCAATTCAACATACTACTGCATACATATATATTAAAACGACTCTTAAGACAACATTTTTGAGAAATAATTATTAATCCCTAAGTGTGTTCTGTATAGTAAAATAACATTAAGTTTTATATAAATATTTTTATCCCTTAAACATCAGATGAATCTCTATTATTATTAAATTAAACAAAACAAAATAACATCAAAGCAAAAAAAAAAAAACATCCAAACAAAATAACATCAAAGCAAAAATAAAAACATCCAAACAAAATAACATCAAAGCAAAAAAAAAAAAAAAAAAAAAATCAAAACAAAATAACATCAAAGCAAAAATAGCCTGTAAAAACTGAATTAAAAACTGAAGGCAGAATAATTGTGAGAAGAAAATTTGTCAACTATTTATGAATAATAGATGTTAAAACAAGAAGAATTTAATTTTTAGAATAACCTAATAAAAAGAATACAAAATAAAAACAATATTATAAATGAGTAATGAATTATAACAAATAAAAAATACAAAATAAATAAAACTAGAAAATAAAATTAAAAAAAATTTTTTCTTTTATATTTTTATTGCAAAAATGATTTACCTGCATCTTGTAAATTTGTTTTTGAAACAGGAATATGAATTTCAAAACCTAATAAAAACTGTGCCAAGTTATGGGATGGCTGTTTGATGGTCGATATAAGCAGCTGTATAACCTCTTGTCGAATCAAGTCTTGAACATTAGCATTTTCTGTTAATAAAATAAATTTAGTTTTGAAGACAAAAATTAACTACTACTAATCACAAGTCACTATTAAAACTAAAACCAAAAAAAAACAAAAAACAAATGAATTGATGAAAAACTTAAATCTGGCAAATAACAATGTTTTCATGGTATTAATGTTTATAAATATAATCATTATCTAAATATAAATATTTAAATAACGATTTCATAAAAAAGCACATATAAACAGATTTTTATTAAATTTGAAATTAAGAATCTTACCATCCTTCAATTCATCAACAACTTCTGGGTCATCAATCTCTAATTGTTCAGAAAACCCAACTAAAAGCTCTCTGGCACCTAACTATTTAAAAATAAATCTAAAATACATCTTAGCAAACAGTATAACATGCCATAAAAGCAACATAACATTACATATAAGGGACATGCTAACAAAAATTGAAAAAAACCTCATCTTTAGAAAGAATTGATACAATTTCTTTTTGAACTCTTAACCCGTCACAAGCATATTTGAGGATTCTTATTGCACTCAACACAACACTTGTCTTTAAGTTATTTATTGTTAAAAATCTAAAGAATTAAGAAAATAAAAGTACAATTAAAATAGTATTGCATTAAAAAAAACTGAAGAAAAAAAGAAGGAATCCAAATAATATAAATGAAAAAGTATTGCATTCAGAGATGCGGGGTCCCAAAAGAACTCCGGCTTTATATCTATATTTTTTCCTGGTCTCTGGTGTCTAAACTCTAAACATGTTGATTGACTTATGATCTGTTATAAGAAAAAAATTCATGAGATTTAATGACTTGAAACTTATTGTTTTTAAGTCCAGAGTCCTTGCCACCATTATACCTAAGAACTCCGGGTTCAAAAATGGATAAATTCTCTTACCTAAAAGTCTTAATTTTTTTCCATGAGTAGTTCATAAGCTTTTTTATATTTTTAGAGCTTTTTGGGACTTTTAGAGCTTTTTGGCATCCCTGATGGCGTTATAACTAATTTATTTAATAATACAATAATTTATTATCACAAACATCATAGGCCTAAAACCGCAAATTGTAATACTGTATGTACCATGAAATGTGTGTTTACCATATGTAGCATGTATGTACTGTATTACTCCTTTTAAAACTTAATCATTTAAACCATTTAATTAAAAGACAACTATGAGTTGTTACCTAGCGATGATCAGTAAATAATCAGGCGCACCAGTTCGTGGATTGACAGAAAGCAATAAGTCATCAAGAGATGATAGTAACAGTGATGAACCATTTTGTCTTACTAAATCTGTAAACAGAGCTTGCTTTTCAAAAACTGATTCCAACAAAAGTAAGCAAGAACCAACAGCACTTTCAAGGACACCTTTTAAGCCTAAAAAGTAATAAATAAAAGTGAAAACATACTTACTATTGTTGAATATATAGCATATGTTAATGTTTAAAATATATGTTTAATTATGTATATATTGCATATACTATTGTTAAAAATATGCATAATTTTGTGTATTAGGAGTATTGAATAATAAAACCAGTGCTATATAGTATACATGTTACAGCGACACACATTATCAGGAATTAGCTAATTGCTAATATTTTATAATAATTGCTAATATTGCTATTAAAAAATCTGACAGCATTATTAATATAATAATGCTGTTAGATTTTATGTTACAAAAATCAACAGACACTTAGTAAAAACTTAACTTTGCTACAGTTTGTTTAGTAAAATTTATGGTAAAAGTAAAAAATAAAAATACAAACAGTATTAGTTATATGCATAAACTGTAACTTCTGCTAGACAAATTAAAGCAAAATTAATTTTTTAACACATGTTTGTGTTTATATAACATATGTAATTTTGGAAGTCCGAGATAACTCATTTTAGAATTAATAATTAGAAATCTCTGCAAGAAGTTGTGTTTAATTTAATATTATATAATACACAAAATTATGTGTATTACACATTATATATATATATGAAAATGAATTCTAGGTTTCTGAAAGAGTGAGGAAGAAAACAAGACTGGCGGATAATAACTTCAGAACTAGAATTAAGTTGCACTGACACAAGCGTTAAAACCTACAGCACAAGTCTTTAAAGAAAGCATCCTAAAACTTACAGTGCAAGTCTTCAAAGATATTTTTGATATAAATGTGCCTGCCAAAAATAAAAGCATAAAAGAATAGCCATGCTTGTGAAAATTGAGGTCACCATCTTCTTGGAGTACTTTAAGGGGTAAACATATTCTATCTGTTGACCACCCTCACACCCCTACTTTATCTATTAGGCTGGCGCAGATGTGTTTACAATACATTATTTCCAGTTTAGAATGTTGAATGCTGGATCTTCTTAACTCAATGCATGTTTTGCTTGTGTCTCTGTTTATACGACTACGCAACTCATTCTATTATCTCCTTATGAGAGTACAGCTCTAAAACTCAGTTTTATGGTTCTTAGGCCGGCTGGTAATCAGGTTTCCTGAACTCTATGGTAGCTCTCAGAGAGGCTGATTCCATCAACATCTGAAAAATATCAGAGTACTAACAGTGCCATGTTGCACATGGATGGTGTCCCTGTTTGTACTCTTAGTGTGCATTGTCGAGGCCGCATTTGGAGCATTTTGTTACAGTTTAGGGTTTATTAATAGTAAAAAAGTTCACCAGACCTATTTGCTCTTTGTGAGACTAATTGAAGTTTGGCTGTCTCATCTTGTGATCTTAGTGCTGTTGGTTATCTTCCTTTAATTTGTAAAGACCCAATAGCCACATGTTTGGCCTGGGCATTTACATTCATATGAATTAAACTAGGTAACTAGGTTTGAATCAACTTTTGCCTTTCTCAATCTCTGAAACAACTTTTGCCTTTCTCAATCTCTAATTCAAATATTCAACTTTCCAACTCATTTTCCAAACAACCCAAATCATTTACCTTCTCTATCAATCTCTACTCGCTTCTGATTCTAGTCAGTGCTCAGTTTCTTCACATTCACCTTAGGTGCTTCTGATCACGGTTTGATCTCTCCAAAACTATTATCTCATTCTTCTTCATCATTAAAATCCCCTTATCATCGTATCTCTTACAACTCCTTTAAAGTTGACTGGGACTCTTTTCCATGATTTTCTTTGTGATGACCCTTGGGTAGATATCTTTCTTATTCCTGCTGATAAATATGCTTCTGACAAAACTTCTTGGATCCAGGCTGGCATAGAACCTTATATTTCTTCTCGACAATTCCAAGCCAAGCCTCACTCTTCTCCTTCATTTACCTCACATTGTGCTGCTGCAATTTCTAATCATAATCATTACTTTTATATATATATATATATTAGCAAAACAATTCTCCAAAAAACAGATATCTGTTTACTATTGATAGAAACCATTGTAAAAAAATTTTGTCAAACGCCAAAGCTCGCTACTCTCAGGTCATGAAATCTCATATTTCATCACAAAAATTAGGCTCTCATGACTTCTGGAGAATCTATAACAGTATCAAAAAAAAGATAAATCTGTTATTCGACCTCTCTTGTACTGTTCAGATTTTGTCACCTCACCTAAAGACTAAGCTGAATTGTTTGCTAAGAACTTTTCATCAATATCATCTCTCAATTCAACAAGTTGCATTCTACCTGATATTGCCAACAAACAGGTTAGTCCTTTGCTTGACATTCGTATTACTCTAGCATCTGTATCTAAAGTGATTTCCTGCTTAGACTCTTCTACAGCTTCTTGTCCGGACAACATACCTGTTATAGTCTTGTAGAAGTGTCTTCTGGAGCTTTTGTCTATACTTTCAAAACTATTGCTTATTGAACAAATGCTTATCAGAGCCTTGTTTTCCGGCATGCTGTAAAGCGGTATCTGTTATCCCTATTTTCAAGATATTAGATATTAGAGGTGGAGAGGTCAAGGCTATTGCTCTTGACATTTCTAAAGCTTTTGATAAAGTAAAGCATGCTGGTCTTCTCCATAAACTTTCTTCTTATGGTGTATCAGGTAACATCTTTAAGATTATTGAATCCTTCCTTTCCAATCGTAGTATAAAAGTTGTCCTCGATGGACAATTTTTAATTTACATTAACAACCTTCCAGGTATTCTCACATCTAAGGTGGCATTGTTTGCTGACGATACTACCATTTACTCTTGTCTTGATAAGAAGCCAACACTCTCTGATTGCTTGGAGGGGGTATTTGAGCTTAAAAAGGATCTCACTTGTGCTACAGCATGGGGCTCACAGTGGCTGGTGAACTTTAATTCAGACAAAACCCAATTTTTTTCAGCCAATCGTTACAACAATAATTAAAATCTTCCTATATTTATGAATGGTGATGTACTCAACGAGTCATTTACCCTTCATCTTCTAGGATTAACTCTTACTTCCGATCTTTCTTGGAAACCATATATCAAATCGATTGCAAAATTAACATCGGTTAAGTTTGCATCTCTTTATTGAGCTCAACACTTTCTTACTCCAGATTCTATTCTTTAAGCCGTCTTTCAATCATTATCTTGCTCTTAAACTTCATCTTTTCTCTTCCAGTAACTTCCAACTTTGGTAGTGGTTGCTTGCAGCCTTGTTGGAAGCGATGTTAAAAGAAAAAGAAAAAAATTGCCATGCAATCTTCTTTGGGTGAGGACATATATCTAAGAACTATGAAATTCTTTCAAATAATATGACTTCATTTCAAAATTATGCAAACTAGACATCAATACAACTTTAAGCAAACTTATTTTTAACAAAAGATCACTTGGAACTGCAAAAGAGACAGGAAAATTAACAAAAATTAAAAAAAACTATGCACGCTTCTACTTGTGATTAAAATAATTAATATTAAAATAATAAGTATTAAAATAATATTAAATTTAAATTAATATTATAATTTAAATAAGTAATTTATGTAAATTCTATGATTTAAAACAACCTTAAATAAGAACATGACAAAATTAAACTGGCCTAGTTTGAAAGATGACTGTTAAAGGAATGTTGCAAAACAAACTTTATATTACTATCAGGTTTGTTATACAAAAAACTGGGCTATGCAGTTTCGATTCAATTTGTCATTATCAAATTAAAAAAACTGGATCTGTTTATCACGCTAGCTTTTTTTTTTCTTAGGCAGAAGAAAAAGTAAAAAAAGATAACAAAAAAAAAAAAAAAAAAACTGTCAATAAACTTGATGTCCCTCAACAAATTAAAAAAACAGAAATAGTCTACTAAGTAGATGAAAAGGAAAAACTCTATTTAAAATTCATAATTATAAATAAATTTAATTATGCAAATACATATTATTAAACCTTTTTGTTATAAAATATGTTTGCAATATTTTATAACAAAAAGGTTTAATAAATATTTAAGAACAAGAAAAAAATTTAATACCTGTCGACACACGAGTTTAAAATAAAAATATTGATAACAAAGAAAATAAAATATTTAAAAAAATTAGCATTTATATTAATCTCAAGCACCCTAAATTTATCTAAACTTTTTTTATTTTAAAAGACAAACTTATTAACTTTAAAAAATTAATCATAAGTTAGGTCAAAACTAAATCACAAACCTAAAAAATTGTCAACTCAATGGTTTTTATGTCTGTAGTTTAACACCTCTTAGGCTCTGAAAGCAAGCTGGTAGATACACTTTAGATGTACATTGTGATACAAGGTGATTTTTAACCGAAAGAAAACATTTTATACAATTCAATTATTGAGAATAATGCAAATATTTTTGTTATGTCAATTAATGTTGAGAATTTGACTATTGTTTTTTTTAACAAATTTTTTTATTAAAGCGAACCTCTAGACTATTTAAAACCAAAGTTTGTAATATTTGTTGGTTGAAAAAAAAAAAAAAAAACTGCTTTCAAATTTTGTATTGGGCTATGTCATAACAACTTTGAAAATGCTGTTTTTGACATTATTAAATTGAAATAACAATCAATTACAATACAATGGGTTTTTTATTCATTTAGAATTTTAAATTCTGAATAAATAAAAACTTGCATGTTTTGAATTTATTTGTAAAAAATTAAAATACTGTAAGATTTTTAAATTAAAAATTAATCAGGTCGCTCAAGTAATTAATCAGGTTGCTCAAGTAATATATAAATAAAATGAGATTTATTGCGTACAATACATAAAATGGATTTTGTTTATTGCCATATAGTTAGACATTAAAAAATTATAAATACAAAGCTCTTAACTTTTTAAAAAACTAATTCAAAAGTTCACGAATAAGCAATGAAATTAGAAAAATAGAAAAAGACAAAAGAAATGAAAAGATAAAGATGCAAAATCAAAAAATAAAACTAAACTTTTTTTTTTCAGTACATAAATACAGTTTTCTAAACAAATGAAATAAATACAGTTTTGTAAATAAATGAAATAAATACAGTTAAAAAACATGCTGGACATAGACAACAATTGAATTGGAACAACAATTACTGAACGTGACTTAGGTGTGCTAATATCAAACGACCTAAAGGTTAAGGATCAAGTAGAAGCTGCAGCAGCTAGATCAAATCAAGTACTTGGCAGACTTAGCAAAAAAAAATCATTTCACACTAGAGGGAATGGAGGGTTGATGTTATAAAGGGTGCTCTACAAAACATTCATCAGACCTCATCTCAAGTACAAAAATCTATAATGTGTTACAAATAAATAACATCAAAACATTTATTTTTACAAATGTTTTCTTATTAGCAAAACACTATTAAATAAAGCAACAAATTACTGATAATGATTTTTATTTTAAGTATCAATGAAAGTTTTATAAAATCTTATTTATTCATGCTATATAAATTATATAAGTATGGATTTTTTATAATAAACAATACTGTGTTATAAAAATAAATTTGTTTTGATTTTATAAATGACAACTTTTTTAAACAATGATTTCTTTTAGTGAACTTTACATAAGAATTATTAAAGTTAATGTACTTAAAAAAAAAAAAAAAATTTGTTGAAAAAAAAAAAAAAAATGAATTAATGAACATTAATTTTTTATCTTAAAAAAACAACTATTTATAACAAACGATTGTCTCTTTAATAAATTTTTTGTTAGAATGAATGAGGTTTAATTATCATTTTTTTTTTAAATGTGTGAGTATTTACTTAAGTAAAAAGGTTTTAGAATGCATATCTAAACTTTGTAAGTTATGTGCTATGTATCTTCAGCTTCTTAACCATTTTACCACATCATCTGGCAAAGTATGGAACATTAAAACTTCAGTGTCATGAAATTCCAAAACTATTATTTATTTTCTATCATGCAATGGATGTGAGAGGAAAAAAACATACATTGGTAAAACTAACAACATAAGGCTAAGAACTAATCTACACATCTTTACATGAAGAACAGGTATTGATTAAGATAAATTTGATCAATATGTTTTCAATTGCAATAAAAATGAACCTTTTTTTTAAATTATTTCTAATGTTAAAACTCTCAAATGAAAATTTACTTCTTATTTATGAAGCTCACCTACATAAACAGGGACATGACACAATGAACATATAAACAGAAAAGTAATTTTCACATTACTTTTAAAATTTCCTTAACAATAAGATTCAAGTTATGTTATATTATTGTTAATTATAGTTTTTTTTATATAGTTAATACTTAATTACTTCATTTAAAAAAAAAAAATTTTATAGGAAGTTCAATATAAATAGGTTTTTATAGTTTTGTAAATCTCATACACAGCTGAAGATTTTATATGAAAAACCTGTGTTTGAGAAAAAATTAAAATATTTGTTAAAATCTATTTAATAAATACATTTTACTCATCTTAGTTTGAATAATTTTTCTTTTGTTATATATATTAATATATATATACATATATATATATATATATATATATATATATATATATATATATATATATATATATATATATATATATATATATATATATATATATATATATATATATATATATATACATACATACATTGATATTTGTAAAAAATACTATTATAGCAGGCTTTCCTCTGTTAAGATATGTAAAAAATTTTGACTTTAAAAAAAGTTTATGATTTTAGTTTTAATTTGTAAAAAAAAAATTAATTAATATTAGCATCTATAAACAACTAAGAGTTATTATCAGTTTACAGGATTACTTATTTATTAATGTCCAGTTTAAAAAAAAAACAACATAAAAACTTACTACTAGAAGAGGAAACAGTTTTTAAAAGTTCCAATATATCATCGATCACAGAAAAAACCATTCGTAACATTGGAGAATAATTTAACAACGAACTTAGAAGTTGGTAACCAGGAGGCTTCGATGCTTTACCAAAACTTACTCCTTGAATCAGTACTTGAGTATCTTGAAAATGTTCAGGTAGAGGGTCATAGTCTTGAAGAATTTTCACAAACAGTTGTAAGACTTCCGAACAAATATCCCACTAATTGATATAAATTTTTTTGTTGTGTTACTAATAATATTGTGTTTAAAAATTTTGATTATAACATATAAAAATAAAATGTTTAGATAATAATTGAAATAAACAAAAAAATGTAAATGACTATTGGTACCTTTTCACTTAAGTCTTTATATGCCCTTGTTTTGAATTTGAGAAATACACTATCAATCAAAAAAACAAGATATGGGTCAAATCCAGGTGTTCGATGACCAGCTCCTAAAGTTTGAGGAATAGTTATATTAGTTAATTGATCAAGCAACTTCATGAAACCACGAGTTTCAGGATAAGTTTCATTTCGACTTTCAATTTCTTGAATTTCGACAGCTATTCCTGATTTTTGTGTGCATGTATTAGTTTGAAGGACCTAACAAAACCACAAATTAATACATGAATATTAAAAAATATAAAAGAAAAAAATACATGAAAAAGAAAAAAGAAAAAACTTTAAATATAAGTATAAAAAATATAAATAAATTCCAAACCTGAGATGCTTCTAATGACTGCCATATAGAAGCTGCAACTTCAGGAGTTTTAGAAAAAGCTGCCAAAGTTTCCAGAAGCAATCCTTTTAAATTAGCTGGTATTGGACAACAAACCAATCCCAACAAGGATGCAACAGGTAGCCACGTTTGATTTTCACAAAATGCAATTCTGACATTTTCATTCTAAAACAAACTAATTAACATTAAATAGAATGAAGAACTTTAAAATAGCATTAAAGAATATGGTGAATATAGCTTAATGATGCTTAATAAATATAAAAATAAAAAAATAAAAAAACGTTTTGAACCCAATTTCAATTTTATCTGAAAACCAAAAATTTGCTTTTTTAGCCGAAGGTGTATTCTCAAATTCAAAACAAGGGTATATTAAAAGATAAAAAAAAGAGGGCATATAAACACTTGAAAGGGCACATAAACAATTGAAAACTAGGGCATAGTAAGACTTGAAAAGATATGAAAAGGTACCAATATTTATTTACATTTTTTTTTTTTTTTGTTTATTTATTTCAGTTATTATTTAAACATTTTATTTTCACTTTTTTAAAATTGAAATATTTTAATACTTACAATAATTTAAGTAATACAATAAAAATGTGTCATTTAGTGAGATATTTGTTAAGAAGTCTTTCAACTGTTTGTAAAAATTCTTCATAACTATGACCCTCTACCTGAACATTTTCAAAATACTCATGTACTAATTCACGGAAAAATACTCATGTACTAATTCATTGAAAAGAAAATCAAAACTAGATTTGAGTTAAAGAATAAAGAATCAAACATCACATTTATAAAGACATCACATTTATAAAGACACATTGATAAAAACACAGGAAAAAGCAGAAATTAGCTGTTGCTAGAGATTTATTTGATTTACTAAATCTGGGTTCATAGCAATTCAAGTCATTATTTTGCAAGTCATAAGTATCTGTCTAGTCTCCTCACTCAAGTCTATGTTAAGCACCAAGTCAAACAAAGCCAGTTCAATTCAATACTCAAGTCAAGTCTCAAGCCCTTAATTCGAATTCAATGAGTAAACAACTCATAATGTATTTGTTATCAACTAAATCCCATTTCATTTTTAAAACATAATAAAAACTTATTTTCAAATACATGAATACATTTACACTTAAACTAAATACATGCTTTTTTATGATTCATTACATTTGCAAAAGACCAATGAATAAAAATAACTTTAAAAAAATGCTTTTACGCCTTTTCACTTCTTTGCTTTTGTTTTAATGTTTCGCAAATGCCAAAATGCAAATGCCAAAATGCAAATGCCAAAATGCTAATGCTAAATGAATGTAAACAAACTTAGCTTTATATTGCGGCAGATGTTTACTAAATTTCTTTTTCTAAACAATTTTAGAGCTTGAATACAAGACTTGTATCTTGAGTTAAACTTTAAGTAAAGTCATGAAGTTCAAGTCAAGTGATTGACTTAAACTTCAAGCCAGGTCACAAGTCATTGGCATCAAAGTTGAGTTTTCTTATTTTATTATATCAAATTATGTCAACTTCCAATAAAATTCAAAAGTTTGAATTATGAAAAATAACTACAAGCTGAATGTAAAACTAATATTCAGTTTGAAGTTATTTTGAAAATATTCCTTGAGTTTTTTCTGATTTTAAACATTTTCAGAAAAACTGAAACTGACTAAATATTTTCAGAAAAACCCTGACTTTTCCAGGTTTTTATGCATTTTTTAATTTTTAAGACATTTCTCTGGTTTTCCCTGAGTGCTATATAAATGCTTCACATTCAAACAATAAATATCGATTGATGTTAAAAAACAAGTTTCTTTGGAATGTCAGTGCCTGAAACCAAAGAAATCAAACCCAAAACATCAAAATATAAAAATAAAAATTTATTTTGCAAAGTTTAAGCATTTGAAATTTTGACTTGAAAATTTTATTTTTCATAAATGCATTTTTAATTTTTAGCATTAGCATTAACGCTTATTTATTTTATTGTTGATAAAAATATAATTGAAAAAATATATTAAAAATATATTAGCCTATTATTAAAATATAAAAATATGTTAACTTTTAAAAGCCTTATTGTTGATCTTATTGGTTATTTTCTGGATAACATTTCTGTCATTGTCTTTGTTAGATTGTGGCAGAAATGTTATCCTGATATGTTGTCCATTCTTCATTGTCCATTTACCAGTCCATTCTCCATTGTTATCCATTCTCCATTGTTGTCCATTCTCCAGAACACACTTTATTATTCTTTAAACTATTTAACAAGAACATAACTGAATCTTGTTTTTTTTTTACCTGCTGGCTCTATTTACTAATGATACAATTATATACTCCAGTCATCACTTTTTGATCTCTTAAAACAGCTGATTTTGAATATATTCTCTCTTTTGTGACAATTTCGGGTTTGCAGTGGCTAGTAAATTTTAATCCAAACAAAACTTAGCTATATACTGCAGTATACTGCTAACAATTATTGGAGTTTATTATTCTTATATTGATGAATGGCAACATTTATAATGAGTCTTCTACTTTACGTCTCTTTTTTTGCTTGTCATTTTTTTATTTCTAATTCCATTTTCAACCTCTATTCTTATTCGCCCTTGTATGGAATACTGTTGTCATACTTGGTCTAGTTCTTCTGATGAGGCTTTTTGTCTTAAGATAACGTGCAAAAATACATTGTAAATGTAGTTAGACCTGTTCTAGTTGTCAGGCTTGAGCTTCTGCCCATTGTTGCAAGGTTACATCTGCTTCACTTTTTTACAAAAACTATCTTGGTCCCTGCACAAGCAAGCTATAATCACTGGTTCCACCAACCAAAACTTGTGATGTCATGATTGTGATGTCAATTCGCACTCTTTAACTGCTCCTTCTACTAAAAAAACTTTTATTCACTTTTGTTTGTAGACTCTATTTAAAAAAGTTCCTACTAAACCATTTAATCACTAAACAATGCCAACCTCATTTCTTTATAGTTTTTTTTTTTTTTTTGCATTTTGAACACATTTGTAAAAAATGTAATTTAAAAGTAGTGGAGGAATATGTTCAATATTTTAAATTTTAACTGGTTTGCTAACTGAAAATTTTTTTTTAACAATTAAAAACAGATTAATTTAACTAAAAAATAAATAAATGCTATTTTAACAAAACACGCTGAGCTTATCAACAAAATAGTAATAATAGTAACAATAACAATAAAAAAAATAATATTGCAGATATATCAATATACAATTCAGTAATATAAAATTCACAAGTTTATAATTGTGGTGCAAAAATATCCTGATACAAATATGCTTACACATGCTGAAAAATATGCTGACACAAATATGATATGGTGAAAAAAAAATCAAAAAATTAACAAGTATCAATATATAACGAAATACTTAAATTAGGTAAATAAATATTACTTCAATAAGTTAAACATTGAAATAACTTTACCTTCTCTGCCACAATTTTTATCAATTTTATAATGCTTTCAAGCCCAGCAAGCTCATCTGGTGATATCTCTTGATGTCTATGCAAATGAACCCGGTGGTCTGGAAATTAAATTTACAAAAAAAACTAATTTTATACAATTAAACTTTGAAAAGAAATTAATCCAACTTCAAAAACATTTTGGCTAAACATTAATTACAGCAAGAAATATCTTTTGTGACTGTTCCAACAAAAATGTTTTTTGCTGTATAGTTTTTTTCGACAAAAAAAAACTTTATTTAAGAAAACCTACTTGCTAAGATATTTTCCCACAAAAAAAAAACCTTGCAGCAAATTCACAAAAAAAAGTAATATTCTCTGTGGAAGTAGTAACTATTTTCACAGTTTTTACATAACATTAGTTAATTACATAAAACACAAGTGTTTTGTACATAAAACACACTTTAACATTAAACCAAAAACTTTCTTTTTGGCACTTAGCCCAGATTTTATGTTCCAAGCAAAAAACCTTACAGAAACACTTTTCAATAAAAATCTTTGCAGCAACACTTTCCTAAAAAAAACTTGCAGTAACATTTTCCTAACAAAAAACCTTGCAGCTACATTTTCTAAACAAAAAACCTTGCAGAAAAACTCTCCAAACGAAAACCATTTTTCTATAACATTTATTTCAACCTTTTTGTTAAAACATTTGACTATAAAAATCCCCCTCTAGACAATAATTCTTCAAACAAAAAACCTTCTTGTACAACACCTGTTCCAACAAAAATCATTCTAGATTGAACATTCACACAAGTTTTTTAGGAAATTAATACTAATATTACACATAATACATTACAAAATAAAAACAATACCAGATGCTTCAATAACTTGTCTTAAACTCAAGTAATATTGTTTCAGTGATAAGAAAAAGTGATCCCAGGAAACGATGCAAAAACTGCTTCTTTCAGTTGATCTGCTTGAAGTCAAAAGACGAAAGCAATATGAAGCAGCCTCTTCGTTATTTGACAAAGATGTTAGCATATCAATATATGGTATATATAGAGGCTGTAGCAAAACATCACCAGCATGTTGAACAAACTTGTTAAGCATCAACTAAGATTTAAAAAAAAATTAAAAATCTGATTAATGAGCTATAGATAAGATTTGAGAAACCATTTTTTTATCCCCACTCAGCAAATTTCCTTGGATAACTTGTATTTTTTGTATGGGAATTAAAGATATTGACACAAACCTTTCTTAAATAAAAGAAGTCAGTCCATATAAAACATAAATACCTGTAGCTTAATATTTTTTTTAGTTTTTCATTGTATTTAGATCTGATTAGAATAAATCGTTATCAAGCGTAAAATAATGCTATAACAAAACTGTTAAAATTAACTTGTTAAAAAACTGTCAAAAAATGAATCATGATAAAACTATTTAATTTTTTTTTTTTATAGTTTAATGAATTTCTAAATAAAAGACCGTTGCCTTTTAAATACAATTTTACTACCAAATAATAAGAAAGTCATTGTGTCATTAAACTTTTTCAAATGTTTTGACTGCGTGAATGCAATCCGTAAATTCTTAAAGTTTGAATTAACGGTAACTCACTTTAGTTGAACATTTGTTAAGTCGAACTATTTTCCTTGGTCCTTTAGAGGTTCGAGTTATCTGGAATTAACTGTAGAGATTAATTTCTTGTAATTTGAAATTTAATTAAATGTAGTTTGTGAACTTTATTGATTTTTATTTCCTTTATAAATATTAAAATGATTTGCCCTAATCTGTATTAAAGTAATTTTTTTAAATTTGTATTCTGTTTTAAATGCTTTTCAATTGCTCAATTAGCTACAAAAAATGATTAATCATATTTTATATTATTCTCTAAGGACTTCAACCAAACAAACACATCCATGAATTGCACATGTTATTTTGGATTATTCTCTAAGGAATTCAAACTAAACAAATATATGAAGGCATATTTGATAAATATATAAGTAAATATATAATATTTGTATATAAGTATAGCATAAATAAGTATATTTACATAATAAATACAGTGTTATAAATTTATTCATAGTAAAGGATTTATAAAAGCTAAAATCAGAGTTATCTGTTGTAATGTAGAACATAATTAAAAAAACTAAATATATTTGGGTCTTATTAGGTTTACTTAAAGTGTTGTTTTTTTTTTTTTTTTTTTTGCAATATAAAATATGTTAAAACAAATTAAATTTTTTTCAAAATTATCAGTTACAATATCACAATATGGTTGAGTTGTCAAAAAATACATTTCACAGATTTTTTGCTAAATGGTATACTTAAAATCACTTATACCAAAAAAACCCAACAAAAACTTGTTTTTGTTGGTTTAATGGTTCTTATATTTAGTTAAACTTATTCAAAGAAAAACTTCACAAACATTTTTACCTTAACTTGAATAAAAATTTATTATTTTCAGAAAAATTATAAAAATACAAGTAAAGACTGCAAAAAGTTATAACTGTTCTGTTAGTAATTACTGTTTAAATTTCTTATTGTATTAATCTGTGTGATATATTTGAATATATTTAGGATATGTGATATGATCGACAAATTAAAATAGTAATTAGCAACATTGTAATTAATATACTTAGCATTACTAATTACTATTTCAATTTATCTATTTCAAACATTGAAATATCTATTATCTTTACTATTATATCTCAAACGTTGAAGTTATCCACAAGGAGAAATATTTGCGCCCTGAAAAATTTAACCCAAATTCTCAATGTCAGGCAAAAAATAGATTCAAACTCTTTAAAATTTATTTTCATTTTTATAATTTACATTTGACAAAAAGTCAATCAACTTCGTATCACTGGCAGTTTATGAATTCATTTTCAATTTGTTAACTTTTGAATATGCGAACAAAGTTCTTACATTATTGTATGTTAAAACAATATATTACCGCAGCATCATTTAGAAACACATAAGCAAAAATCTGGTGTAATGCTAGACGAATTCAAATAAACTCTCTGAACTCTTGCAAAAGATTTCAATTTTAAAGGAAAAATATTTATCAGAGATGCAAATATAATATGCCAGAGGCTACTGAAAAATCAGTCATAATGCAAGAAAATACGGTGATACTCAGCATACTTCACTACTGACCTAAAAACTGTGTTACTTCTGTAGAAACAATTTCCATCAGTGCAATACTTTTTTCACTCAGGATACTGTTTGTCACAAATGTCACAAACAAGCAAATTTTTCAAAAGTGTGTAAACCACATAGATCATGTTACCGAATCCAGTGATAAATAAATACAATAAATACAATAATTAGTAATAGGGATCTTATTGCCTTTCGCATCCGATACAAAAAGTGGAAACAAATGAGCTGAATTTTTCTACATTAATAGATACAGGATGCTCAGACAACTTTGTCAAAAAAAAATTGTCAATAAGTACCCTAAAACACAAAAAATAATGGCAGTTTATCAATGGCATCGCTATCACTTAAAACAACCTCCTTTGTTGGTTTGTAGTCTAAAGAAACTGAAAACATCTTCCTCAACATTCACAAATCTTTCCAAAGACTGTCATCCAATTGCAACTAAATTTAAAAGATTTAGTCATGGTAAACTCTTTATCCAATCCAAAATTAAGAAATTATTAAATAACAACATTATAGAACCAAGTAAGAAACGTTGAAGAGTATAAATTATACCCTTCACTACAAGTACATTATCATTCATAAGTATAGGAAGATCTAGATAGTTGTGATAACAATTAGCTGAAAAAGTTAAAGTTCACCAGCCACTGAGAACCCCATGCTGTAGCAGAAATCGAAACAAAAGAACTCATGATCTTACAATCATATATCATCAGATATCACTTCTAATAAAAAATAAGACATATTTTTAAAACCAATGGCAAATTATACCAATTAACTCACTTGCCATTTGATCCCACAAAGCTGTTCAATAGAAAATCTATAATGCTCTCTGCCACCCAGACATTACAAGAATTAAACAATTTGTCTGCATTTGGAACTTACCATACTCTATAAAAAAAACTTAGTTTTGTTCACTAGTGCATTACTTGCTGCTAATTGAAACCTCACCTGGTGCTCACCTTATAAAAGTGTCACAACAAATAAAAAATTTAATTATCTATATGTGTTAGCCATTACTATTAATTACAGGTTATAACAATCTCTATTCATTCCCTGTTAAATTCAATAAAAATTCCTTTCACAATTCAATAAAAATTATGGTAAACCAGTTTAACTTATGCATATATGCTGCCATCTTAATAAATGTTGTGAAAACAATTACTTCAGCTTACTGATCAGGAAATATCAAAATAATCTTACATGTGCCTTGCTTTGACAATTCACACCATAACAACTACACAAAACACATAAAAACATACCCTAAACAAACTAGCAAAAAGGTAAATAAAGCTCACTTTATTGTATAGAATAAGATAGGAAGTCGCTACTTTATATAAACAAAAAGTAAATATCCTTGTTTGTTTTCCAAGAAAATGAAATTTGTAAAAGATTAAGTTCATACAACCAAAAATAAAA